TGTTTTTGGGTAAATGCTGAGCTGTCTTAATCATTTCGTGTTAAGCACAACTAAACAATTCCTGGAAACATGTTTTTCTCTTACAGTCCCCTTTCTTCACCATGATTCACCGCATGCTCTGTAGTGCTTCACTCCTGTGCTATGCTTTCTCCTATTATTGCTGCTGCTGTTTAATTGGTTTTTCTGACTCGTCTGCTGTTGTTGTCTCTCTTTAACTCTTATTGCCATGTTTAAGTGATTCATCAATTCCTCTCCTGGTTCCTCTGGTAAAACTCAGCAAAGTCAAATTTCACTTTCATGACTGGCACTTCCTTGTATAGATGAATGTTATGACACAGATGTACAATTCGATGATTCATGTATGACTAACACCATGACTAACACGGCCCTGTATTCTATAATTTACAGGACAAAACTGCTTTCCACTCTCACCCTTGTTTCTGCATTGAAGGAATTATTACACAGAGTAATAAATTAACATTTAACCAATGTAACCTGAAGGAAATGCTTTCAAACTGTGGGGACAAAAGAACCTCATGGGCAGATTGGTGCAGCCAAATAATGTCTGTCCTTGGAGCGTGTCTACAGTGAAACAGTGGCTCTGTGGGGCTCAGCACGTCTCTCATACCATCCCAGAGTCACACAGAAGCCAGCCTGTTTTCAGGAAAGCTGTCAAATGACCTTGTCTCTGTGGTGGGCACAGGCTCACCCATCAATGTGTTTTTAAGATTCAAGCTTAATTTGTGTTTCCTTCTCTCCAGCACTCAGAGCGTAGTGGTGCATACAGTCTCACCAGCGTCCTCACACACCAACAGTAATCCGAAACAAAGAGCCCACTACTCCGTCTCCCCAGCGACCATTAGTCATGTCTAACTGGCAGCAGGTCACTTTGTCTGGCCGTGACTTGAGACTTCACACTTTGATCAGCGTATTGAACAAGAAAGACGTGAAAGAAGCAAGTCTCATTGGTTTTGTATTTGGGATAGACTGATTGTTGGCCTGGCTGATTATCGTGGCCGATATTTGGCACTTTTCCTATTATCTGTATCTTTATCGGCTGATTGTTGATGGATTAAATGCACTACTTCAGGTCTGATGCTGCCTCCTCTCTCTGTTTGTCGTCACTCTGTGGGCTCAGAAATGTCTCTCAAGAGACTGCAAAAACTGAACAAGAAAAACAAGCCGTTGTCACAAACCAGGAAACTAGCTACTCTCACTGTGGCTGAAGCTACGCTAACAGCTAGTGGCTAAGTTAATGGGCAGCCACAAGAAAGAAGAAAGAAAATAGAGCAGAACAGCAGACTTAACTGCAGGAGACAAACTGATCAATCTGAGTCGATCCCACATAAACAGAGGAGAGCATCCTAATTTAATCACTTACTTCATTACATATGCAGTTAGTCACTTTTACTATTGAAGAACATGCTTATCACATGCAGTTAAAACATTATATTTAAGCTGTATTGGTTCCAAATATCAGTTATTGGACTCTCTTGCCAAATGCTAATATTCGGTATTGGTATTGGCTCTGTAAAACCCATATCGATCAATTCCTATTTTCTATGTTGCAAATTGTATGCATTGTTGGTGATTTTTTTTTTTTTTTTTAGATAATTTATCAAAACTTGATAAAACAAATGAGAGTATCTGCTGTTTTAAGCCATGTTGGTGATGTCTCTACTTCTGTTCAGATGGAAATGTATCAACGACTGCTTGATAAATCTCTTTCTACTTGTGGGTTACCGTTTTTAAAATCCCCTTTGCTACATGTAAGGACAACAACTTCCCAACAACAACCTACACGCTGAAAATGGCAAATTTTAAAGTGAATCAGGCATTTAATTAATTACCCCGTCGCCTTTGGTGCAAATGTTCTACTCTTGGCTCAGCGCTGCCCTGGATGATTGTTTTGGCTTAGGCAAAGCACCTTGTTTAGATTTATTTACGACCTAATACGCATCAGTTCTTTTCAATTACTAACTCAACAATACAGTAAGAGTTTAAAATCTGAGATGCTTAAAGCACACATGACAGCTATAAGTCATCAAAGTTATTAAGTGGTAATAAAACTGATAGATGCGTTCTACTCTTACAACTCCAAAAGTAAGCAAATAATAAGCAAGAAACTGCACAAGTGATAATTTGCAAAGGTAGTTGCTCAGCAGCTCTCTTGAGTCTTGGATTTTGACAATGTGACTGAGAAAGCAAAAATAGATTAAGCATCAACTGTGATTGATGACCTCTGTTAGGTTGTAAAGCTTGTGGAGTTGATTTTTTATTTTTTATTTTATACTGTACCCGCACTGATTTAAACTAATGTCTATCTGCAATGTAATAAATCACAAAAGCCTGGAAGTAATGATTTGCTTTGAAAAACAGTGAGCATGTGATATAAAATATTGCACAGTTTGCAGTAGCTTGGCTGAAACATGCAAAACTGTCTCCTTTAGGTCACTCCTGACAGTTGGATCGGCTTCATTCAACAACTGGAAAAACGAACAAATGCTAACATTTGATACCAACACGAGTGCCTCTCTGGAAAAGACACAACCCAGAGTCGAGGCACTCTGGCCAGCTTTTCACTGAAGCAATCTAGACTGACAAACTATCTCTAATGATGCTGCTAACTAAAAAAAGTTATCCTGTGTGTATCTGCTCTCCACTCCGTTTCTCTTGTCAGTAGTGTTTTGTTGTGTGGGACAGAAACAGCAGCTGCTTATAAGTATTCATTAGTCCGCTTGTGGATTAGCTGAGACAAAATGTGAGTGTAGATCAGGCTGCACACTGTGCTGCCTCCTCCAGAACACAGTAGGCCCTTTTCCCTCTCTCTGAGCACTAACCACAGCTGTTCAACACCACTTGACTTTTCAAGCAACAATGTTCTCAGATAGCTGTGGCCACTTTTGTTCTTGCTCGATGAAACATTTGTCTGGTCGGCTGTCTGCTTTTTTTTTTTTTTTTCAAAAGAGTTTGTCTCCCTGTGGAATCCTGGATAAAAGGTTGCTCTTTTGTTACTCCCTTGCTGGCAAATTGTTGAGACTCTGTTGAGGAAGATGTTTGTCGATATCCGGGCGGTTGTAATGGTGACTGCCTCGGATGTGTGGCCCCACTCATCAGATTTGTGCACTGAATTTGTCATCTGGGAGATAAACACACATACCCATTCATTTGGACAACTTTAAAGTTTTATTTTCTGCACAAACAAAAAGATGTCAGTCTCTCTTCCTGTGTGTTTTTTTTTAACCTACACTTGAAACACATACACCCTGTATCGGTTGCGATTCCCTTATTCAAGACAGCTGCACTGGCTGGCTATCCCTGAGCTCTCTATACCCACTTGCGCGCCCCACGCACCCGTGCAAACATACACTCCAAGGCCATAAATCACCATCTCCACACCACCTCCTTCCTCCCAAACGCACATACACCCATGACGTTGCTGCTCTTGTTCTGCCGTCTCTGCCCTGTTGTGCCCCAGCTAACGCTATTCGCCCATACATCCCCTCTCACTGCCTACCCTTCGTCCAACCCACCCCCACCCCGCAACCCTTCCGACTTTCTGTCACTACAGCTGTGTGTCAGCTGTCGGCCTGTCCCGGTCTAGTCAGAAATGAAGCCGAAACACAGAGGGTCTATGGGGAGGACGGCCTGGCCTCTCTGCCTCTCCCAGCTGTCACTCCCACTTCAGATATTCACCGATCATAAGGTTTCTTTCCCTCCATCGTTTTTCACAACCGTCTTCCTCAAAGACATTTGAAAGTAATATATGCACAAGGGACGAGGCTATTAATCTTGTTTTGTGTCCGTTCTTTTCTGTACAATAACTACACGTGTTTGTAAAGTATTAGGAGGAAATATTATGTCTTTTTGTAGAGAATAATGATACAGATATACTCATCAGCCAGTGTGTTAGGCACTAACAAACCAATAATACAGCAGACATGCAGTAAATAAAGGCTATGATGAAGTTCATAATGTAGTGTTAAAACTAAAGGGCTATTGTTTCAAACTTTATAGTCATTTTGGAGTTCAACAGCACGACAGACTCTAAAATGACCGTGAAGATGAATCAGTACAACTCTTAAAGATTTTTTAACAAAAACTCAACATTGTAACCTTCATGGAGGGCAGTTCATCGCAACTCTATTTTATACGCTTGCTTTAATTTCTGTAAGCGCGTTCCTGCAATTGAGGTGTAAAGCGGAGGTTGGTATGTTCAAAGCTTTCAAGGATCTTTAAAGAACGCATGCCAAATATCTGCGATGTGGTGTTATGAGCACGTAGTTTCCTTGGTAATAGCCTGTCACGGACCACAATCATGTTCCCATTGACTCAAAAATCTGACATCTGTACTTGTGGTTTCTCTCATCCATTGACTTTCATTTCTCTAGTCTTCGAGCTGTTTGTTTATTTATTTTCAAAAAGCTGTAATGAACTGAGTGCTCCAAATATGCTCCATCCTATTAAGCCAAAGAAGGTTTGAAATCAGTAATTTGGAGAAATGATTGACATTTCAAACAGAATAAAATTCTGTAGGCGCAAATTGGGATGGCTAAGTATACCATTCTCAATTACTAAGCTGCTTGTAGCCTTTCTGAAAGCAGAAAAGTTGTTGTATCACAGCATTCTGATGCCAGAGAGAAAAACTAATTAGACTTTGAAAATGGGGTTTGTTATATTGCTTTGACATGTAACGTGTTTTGGAATAAGAGGATTGGAGTTATTGATAGAGAGAGAGTGTGTGTGTGTGTGTGTCTGTCATTGTTGCAGTTCATAGACAGTAAGCAATCGTATGGTTAATAAACAGCAAGTGGAGTAAATCCAAAGAATTTGAAATTATAACAAGTAATAGAAATATTTACAGTGTGCAGGAATGCGCAAGTCATTTGCTTTAGAAATTTGCAAATTTACACATGTGCAGAGAATAAAAATGCTGTTTTAATGTAATATGTGGTAATGTATTGTGGATGCAGCTCTAAACGTGTGTTTTTCTCTGACAGGTATGCCTGTGGTCAGCAGTGTGTCTCCAGGGAGGTAACCAGGTGTGTTGCTGCTGTCATGGCCTTCACAATCCTGCGGCTGTGTCCTGTCGCTGTAGTCACAGTCCTCACAGTTCTGGTGTCGTCCTCTGAGGAACATGAGTGGCAGTTTAACCCAGGTAGGATGTCATATACACACATAAAGACAAAGACAGTATCTAAGTTTGTGTTAGAGAAATTGTATCTCTAGGTTTTTTTTCTTTTTTGTCCTTTTTTGATGTTTTTTTCCCCCAAAAAACATTTGTTTGAAACTATGTGTGTCTTGTGCCCGCTGTCCGTAAGGCTTGTTCTCCATCCACTATCAACAGGCTATCCTGTGTCCTCTCCTTGTCTGCCAGTCAGTCATGTGTAATTGGAGAATGAGATAGCAGGGTGGTTTCCCCCAGCTCGTCAAAACTGCTCATGCATCGGCAGTTTATGACAGTGTCCATCAAAATGTTCGGGAAGGGATCACACTGTTTGCACCAGGGGTCGACCAATTTTTTATTTTTTTTTCCAGGGCTGATGCCAATTATTAGTATTTAGGGAGATTATTAAGTAAAACTTGTAACCAATAGGTGCATCCAAACCAAGTAGTTCATTTTAAATGAACTTATTTTATTAGAGATCAGCTATAAAAATATCAAAAAACCAATACTAATCACTTGAACAAATCTAGACATTGGATCCAATGATGGGTCAAACTGATTATCAGTTGACCCCTAGTTTGCAGTCTGGACAGATTTCTGATTGCAGCAGTTAGACTGTTATTTAATTAAGCCAGCAACTACTGATTACTGTTGTAATTATGTGTTGATTAATTATTTAATGCATCACTTCGTCTACAAATTAATTCCCAGAGGCCATAGTGACATCGTGTCCCACAAACAGTTCAAAATCAAAATGTGTTATTATGATATATCCAGATAAGATAGAGCTGAGAGAAAACAGAAAAGTCTTCACATTTAAGCAAAGTGAAATCTGGGAATGACTTAAACTGTTGATCCAAAGTAGAGCTTTAAAAAAAAAAAAAAAATCCATTTGTTAATCAACAAAATGTCTGGGCAGATGTTTTGAATGTAAGTTAACTGCTTCATACAGTCAGATGTGTCGGTTCATCACTTTGGGCCTGACTGAAATACTTGCTTTGTGCCACTAAGGATAAATCGAGTTTTAATCTAGTACCATCATTAGAGCAATGTTTATGCTGTTCAGTACTTTGACTTGTTACTAAATACCTACAAAACATAAAAGATGTCCATCCATGTCTGCTGAATTTTGCTAAGAAACTAAACAGCACGCTAAAAAACATGATATATTTTACAACAGAAGTGAGTTCATCTCTGCAGGACATCACTTAAATGTCAAATATTTCAAATAAAAAAATCCAACAATAACAAATACTTTAGAAAGAGAATAATGAAATACAGGCCTCAAAGTAGAAAACTCAATGCAGCTAAAGTAAATATACCTGTGATCAGTGACACACAAGTTAGACAATTTGCCATCATTGAAACCAAAATGAGTCCACCTGTGATGTCCAACCAGCTTGATCGATGAATATGGTTATAAAATGACCTGTGAACACCAGAACCTTCTTATCTTTGGACCTGGTCCTGGACTGTGTCTGTCTGCATGTCGGCATCATGGTGCCACAAGAGAAAGAGCTGCCAGAGGAACTGAAACATTTGATTGTGATTCTTCACAAAGATGGAAAAGAATACAGGAAAATGAGTAACCAACTACAAATCTGTCAAAACAGTTGCAGCAGTAAAGTGGATACTTAGAATGAACCACAGTAGCACTAATCATAGCTACAGTGGCTGTCCCTCTAAAATGATGCCATAGACAGTGCGCTACTTGCACAGTTTCACTCCAAAGCAGACAGGCAAGTTTTGGAGGAGGCAGCAGAGTTTCTATGACAGGCTTTTGATAAAACATTGGAAAAAAAAAAACCCTGATGAATATTGGTAGCGCCTTGCTTAGATCTAGCATGTTTGGCTTGACCTACCAAAGTGAATGTACAGTTCTGACAGTGAAGCACAGAGGTGAGAGTGTTTTGATTTGGGGCTGCCTGAGTGCAAAAGGTGGTGGAGATAGATGACAATATGAATGCCTGTGGATATGCCATAACTGCCGAAGTCACAAAGGATTTGAAAAGAAGAAATAAAAGTATGACTTGGCGAAGTATTTCTCCTGACTTGAATCCAGCAGAAAAGCTTTTGACATGTTTTAACGTGAAAGGAAGAGGAACACACTCCCCCCCAGCAAAGAACAGCTGAAAACAATGGAAGAACATCTCTTCAGGACTTTTTGCAACACTGGTATCCTCCATGCCAAGGAGGCTTGAGTCTGTCATCAGCAATAAGAGTAGATATATGAAGCAGTCAGAAATAAAAGCTTTGAATCCCAGTAATGAAGATGTGCAGACTTTTGTTGCATCAAGTTCCGACTGTGAGACCTGTATTTTTAATATGGTAAATCTAAACTATTTTAAAATAGTTTAAAAGAAGTTTTAACAGAACAAGTACCGTATTGTTCAACTTAGAGGTCATGAAAAAATTGAGAGGTGATACATTTTTAAATCATTTGACATTTAAGTGATGTTGCCCAGGAGTGTCCTCAGTTCTGTTGTCTATGGAAGAACCATCCATCACAATGTCAGTATTGTCACTTGTTTGCTTGCTGACATTGGTGTTTACTTAGTTCATTACTGTGTCTCATTACTACCTCACAAGGCCACTAGCGTGGGTTTATACACTTGTTAAAGTGGCAAAATATTTCTCATTTCTGCTGTTTTTCTTTATCTTATGTGGTTCGTGCGCTGAATACTTGAGGGTTTTGGAAAGTTGATCAGAAAAAAATTGAAGTTATCTCGATGGGCGTTTTTCTTTTTACTACTTTTTTGACCTATAAACTGCACAATTAAGTGCGAAGTGAGAAATAGAGCCCTCATACAAGTTGTTATGAAGGCGTTATTGTCAGTTACATGACCAGTTGACTTCATTGATTCATGGAGTGATTTGTCTACACTAAATGAACGTAGAAATTGTAGTTAAGACTACAGATAAACAAAAACACATTTTGTCCTGACAGTGTGAGCAGAAAGGTTTAGCACATGGGCTTACATTTTTTGTGAAAAAATGACAAAGAGAAGGTGAAAGCCAAGGACACCGACATCATAGACATAGAGGGGTGAAAAGACTGCAGATGGTAGGCTGTTGACTGGCATGTGGTATAATGATGATGATGTAATGAAATGGGCACCTGTTCTCGGGGCGTGGATGGACTGTGTGTGTATGTGTGTTTGTTGTACCCGTTGGGTTTTTAGGGTTTGGCATGCAGCCCAACATTCCTGTTCACTGAGTCAGTGACAGAAACTGAGTTAGACACCCACTCCCGCCTCTTTCTGTCACCCTCAGCCAACACTCCATATCACTGTCGGTACCCCTTTCCACTTTATCACGGATCAAACACTCACTTAGCCTTCCTTCCCCCCACCTTCTCCTCATGACTGCTTCAGAGTGGATAGCCGGGTCATTGGGTAATCCCTGCCTTGGACCACACTATCTGAATAGTTTGATAGAGTGCTGCTGAAGCAGAGTTGGCGCAGATACCCTTGTCGGTATTCTATCTTTGCCCTTAGTTTCTTTCTCTCTTTTGTTCTCTTGGGGATCACCAGAGCCCTGAGGATGTGGGGCAGAGAGCTGCTTGGAAAGACAAAAGGAAAAGGAAACACAATAGGTGTTGTTTTATAGAAGACAGGTCTCATTGTCACGCAGGGTGCCAACACATAAAATATGATCATGCACTCCAAGAGGCATTATGGGTATTAATGACTACCTTTGATGGTTTCATTCGTAACAGGACAGAGAGGCCTTACCAAAACCCAACCATGACCTATTACATGAACTTGTTAGCACTAACCGATCCAAGAGATTCTGTTCCAAATGACAGCAAAAGGAACAGTGTCATATTTTTTCTTGCAGCACTCGCTGTCTGTTGAAGCACGAAGTCCGGAAGTTTTCCCAGAGATGACATAACAGCATTATGCTCCATGACTAATGATGGCTGCTGACTCCAATGGAAATATTGGGTTTCCCCTGGACAAGCGCCCCATACAGATGGGAATTTGGCGAATATCTCTGTCCAGCCTCTGTCTTCCCTTCACTCTCTTTTTCTCTTCTCCATGTCCCTCCCTTACAGCTCAGTGTCGTTACGCCCTGGGGATGGAGGACGGCACCATCCCAGACTCTGACATCACCGCCTCCAGCGCCTGGTCAGACTCCACCGAGGCCAAACATGGAAGGTGAGTAATGTGTGTGCGTCTGTCCAAGGAGGAAAGTAACGAATAACTAAGTAGATTTCCTTATACAACAACATTTTGTCTAAAACTGTAATTTAAAGAGTAATTTGACGCTCAGCTGAAAAGGTTTTTTTCAGTTGCTGATAAATTGCTTAACTTTTAAAGTGTTGAACGCTGTTGTGTTTGGAAAGTTAAGAAATATGAACAACAGGTTTTGATACAGTTACAATGATGTGATTTAAAGGAGAGCAGAAGTCTGTTTTACATTTTTGCAGACTTTTTTTGGCACGTGTGCTGTACAGTAATAACTTTCAGAAGAATTTATTTCTCCTCCTTCTATTTCTGTTTTGTTTTAATTATATCAGCCCTGTCTGTCACTGATTTGTTATTGTGAGGTGATGCAGTGCCGACAGGAGACATTACCATGTAATGACAGCGTGACATTGACATAAATTAATACAGACTTGATGTTTACTGTGATGAATTACATAACTGACATAACTCTGGAGAAAGTATCTGATTTTCATACCATAATGATGACAATTAGATGCCAAGATGAGTGTGAAAGGTATTTCAGATTTGTAATACAAATCAAAAGGATGGAGTGAGAGGAGAATAATTAATGTTCATGTATCTCCAGCCATAACATTAAAACCACTTGCCAAATATTGTGTAGATCCCTCTTATGCTGCAAAAATAAGCTCTGACCTGTTGGGGAATGGACACAGAACTTCTGGAGGTACACATCTGATTCGTTTGGCAAAATATATACAACATAGTTGTTAAAATGTGACTAAGTGGTAATTAGATCTGATACCAGTGTTTTCCTGTAAGTAGTAAAGGATCAGGATGCATCACAGGTCAGTTCACATGCCCTGTAGAAGAACTACTGTTGTACTAAAGTAATTTTTAGGAGGTCTATTAGATTTGTTAGAAGTTGATGGTGTGTCTTTGTATAACCCACTTGGTAATCATATTACCTCCGTCTCTGTCTGGCAGTGAGATCAGATTAATGAGAGCCAAGTTAGACGTGCAACATGCAAGAGCTTTTGCAGGATCGTAAGTTTGTTTGGGTTCATTTGTCTGCATCGGTCTCTTGGGCTGGGTGTCTAACCATGTGGAAGTGATTATTAGCCAAAACTCTTTTTAAGACACACCGGGGGGATCTTAAGAAACGAAGAGGAAACAGGGACCAGTGGATGCAAAGCAAAAAAAAAGAAGAAGATAAATAGGAAAGCAAGTGAGAAGTGGATTGCTCAAAAGCGTGGTGAAAGCTGTGGAGAAACTGATTTGAAAACAGGATTTGAAGTGTTGTGTGAAGGGAGGGATTCAGAACTGCTCGGGTTTTGTTATTACTCACCGCTGCATGGTAGATTGAAGTTGGCCAGCCATATTCCTCTTTCCTCCGTCTTCCTCTGTCCACCACAGAGCACTTGGTGGAGCAGCAATTTGTTGATATCATCTCGCGGTTCTCAGCTGCATGATCTCACTCACTGAAGGGAGAGCGGGATTGATTAGAATCCAAGTGCCACTGTCAGTGTGACCAAGTTGATATAGTGATTTGTTTTGGTGGTCTGAGCAGCAGCAATCATTTTTGAAAGAAGCCTCACAGTGGTCAGAGTGCGGTTGTGGCCTGCGTCTCTTCCAAAAGCTCCTCCAAAGCTCCTCATACGAGTTGATCTGACAACAGACACTCAGCCAAGTTTGTGGTCTTCACAAGGCCAATATGTGGTGCTAGTATGAGCTCTTCTTCTCCGGCTGGATTGAGGAAGGTCACAGCGAGTGAAAAGCTTTGATGCGTGTGTGTGGTCGAGGCAGGCCTGAAGAGCTGAGAGTTAAGATCTTGCCTTAAAGTCTATGCCAGATCTTTTTGTGAGATTTGAAAAATGTGAAGGAGCTAGTAATTTTCACCCTGCCTCCTTTAATCTCATTTCCTCTCTTCATGAACAGCGTGCGTTCTGTGTTTTTGATCTCTCTTCACTCCCTCTCTGTGTCTTTATCAATTGCCAAGTCTCTGTCTCTCTGTATTTCTGTCTGTGAGACAACGTTGCCCTATTTAAATGTGAATGTTTGAGCTGCCGGGGGAGCCAATATGTGCTGTGATGTTAGGGGAGGATTAGATTGTTTGCGCTGAGTTCTTGTTCATCTGCACGCTGCCGGCACTTAGAGTTTTAATGTAGTCCGTCTTGTTGTGTTTGTGTGGAAATGTTTGAATATGAGTGCGATTTATAGAACTTTTAAATTATGGTTTATTTTTTCAAATTCGTATTTTGTTGTTTCTATTTTATTTATCTCCCCTATTATGTCTCTTTCTCTGTTTCTAAGGTTGAGCACTGGTGAGGGGGACGGAGCATGGTGTCCAGCAGGAGCCGTCTTCCCCAGTGGATCAGAATACCTTCAGGTCACATACTCACTTTACTCTTTTTCAGTTAGCGCTCAGTGCTGCTGTATGGTTTGTGAAAAGAATAACATGCAACAGTTGTCATTTGTCACGTAATGATTATTTAGTCGATATTAAAGCTTTAATTAAATAGAATTTAATTAAAGCTATTAAACAAGATTGTCACTAGAATTTCAAACAAGCATGTTCCCAGCAGCCACTAGAGCTCCTTCATAACACCACCATGCTTTATTTGTAATGTTGTGACCCATTTTACCTTTATCCAAAAATTGCAGCTTTTGCAATTATACATATTGGGATTTTGATAGCATTTACAGAGCTTATGCCTTAGTTCAGACAGGCACGCAGGAAGGCCCTGTCTGTCCAATCATTCGCTGCTTAAGTCCAGCCCACCCACTTGGCGTGCTTTGTAACTGAGGCAGCGTTCATTCATTCTGCCCGCTCCACATCGCTGCTACACCAGCCTCTACAGATCAGCAAATCTCCTCCCCGACCTCCTCTCTTTTAAAAGTTCAGTTTCATAACTCTGGTTGTTCCTCATATTGTGGGAATGCAGATGGTTCATCATTGTACCTTGAAACTATGTAACTGGATTTTGTAAAGTGAGGACCGTTTAAGTTGGTCTCCTTGTTTTTGTGTTCATACTATATTTATTTGAACATTGTAAATTCAAGGCTCTGTTGGGGGGTTTGTGATCTCAGGGACTGTCTGTGTCATGCTTGTTCAGATTGTTCCAGAGCATCACGCAAGCAGAGTCACTGCCAAACTCAAATGCATGTCATTCCAAATAAATGGGCAAATCTGACAGAGTGTTCTGTTTGAACAATTCCACTATTAGCATACTATTTAAGTCTCACAGCTTTTTCATCCTTATCTGTGTTTCACGTGAGTATCTGTAATCCAGTGCGTGACATGTTTTGTGATGTATTACCTACAGATTGACCTGCAAAAACTCCACTTCCTGGCTCTGGTGGGTACCCAGGGTCGCCATGCCGATGGGCACGGCCAGGAGTTTGCCCGCAGTTATCGCCTTCGCTACTCCCGAGATGGACTGAAATGGATCACCTGGAAGGACCGATGGGACCAAGAAGTAAGTTGGAGTTTTCTCACCATGTCCGCTTGATTACACCACAACCGGAGCACATTGCCTCTTCTACATCTTGATGCAAAAGGAAAAAAGCGATTAGTTTGAATGTCAATAAATGAGCTTTGGGGTACCAACATACAGTTGAGGGGGACTCTTCCTTATTGATAGGAAATAGCTCAATGTCCTTCAGCTAATGAGTTTAAATGTAGCGATAATAACATTATATTATTTGTATTATTCATTTGCACTTGATTTACTTAGTGTTCATTGGGGAATGGAGCTTTTTGGAAGAGGCCCAGCTAAACTCTATAATTATGGTTCTATTCAGGCAGGAGCTGCTTTTACTGCCTGTTGAACAAAACACTGAGCACTTTACCTTGTGTTTAAAAGATAAACACCTGTTATTGCATTTGGTAAATGTCCAGTGTTTTCTTTGGTGATAAGTCTTGCTCTGTGTTTTGCACCATTATTACATGACAGTGTCTGACTCAAACAACTAATGCTGAGGGAAGGAGTCATATTGTTTGTGTCTCTGAATAAAAAGTCAGAGCCTTCAGGAGAGATTTATTCAACCCTGCAGTTGACAGCAGAGGGGAGCGATGTTCTCTGTGATTGAATACTTTGCACTTCTTCTCCCTAGGTCGTGTCAGGTAACGAGAACACCTATGATGTCGTGCTCAAAGATCTGGGCCCTCCCATTGTGGCTCGCATGGTGCGCTTCTACCCCCTCGCTGACCGGGTTATGAGCGTCTGCCTTCGGGTGGAGCTCTATGGTTGTGTATGGAACGGTAGGTGTGTGCATATGTGGAGTTAATAGAGACGCGAGAAGACTACAAATGGGTCATTCTGCCTCAATTCACCATTTCCCAGCTTCAATTTGACAGATTATTTTGTTTTTTTTTAAAGTGGTGAATATCGATTGAGTTGAAATCAGTACACTGTATTGTTGCTTCCAACTTCAGCAACACAGTGTTTCTATGTGACTAACTTTTTGCTAACAAGGTTATAAGAAAATGAAACAGATCTTGATAAAGAAATCAAAAACAAGTAAAAACAAACAACTAAAAAGGACTATGAGTTGGAAAACCTCAATTTTTCTTTTAGCCCAGTCACAATAATATATAACAGGTTTAGTGATTTTCACCTCATATTTTCACCCCAATTGAAAAAAAAAAAAAATTAATATTTTTTTTTCTCATAAAGTGCCTCTGACTGGCACCATATTCAGCAGTTTTGAAGCTCCTATTTGTACCAATCACATGAAAAACAAAAATCTGCCTCTTCAAGTGAACAATGAAGGTTTTATGGTTGGTGGAAAATCTGAACAGAAAAAAACAACAACATTTTTTTGACCAAAGTTGCACCATCATATAACTGGTTTGTTTTTTTCTATCAAAGCAGGGTTGTACCATTGAAGACCATGTGTACTTATCAGTGAGCCCACAGAATTTCAGGAATCTAGCTACATTAATTCTCAAGTTATGGCTCTTCAGACATTACTCTGCAGATTGGCACAAAGAAAACGATGCAAAAAAATTTACATGACCTGACCCTCCTTGAAGAAGTTTTAACTCAAAAATTAATGTTACCTAGGACCCCTGATTTTACACATTTTACTTAATAACATATGTAGCAAAAGAAATTGACAAATCTGAGATGGTCAGGCATGAGCCTTTTTAAAAATTTGGTGAACTGAGGTGAAATCACCCAAATATACACAGTGTCCCTGACTGTTTGGTTGCTTTGCTTTTCATTGGTTCTGTATATTCTGAGGCATGGCCTGTGGATCTTGATAAAGTCAATTAGTTCTCGAATATTGAGGGTAACTGAGTTCACTGTCAGCCTAGATTAATCCTATATCAGATGGTAATGATTACGAGTCTGTGTTTTTGTCATACGTCTGATGGATTTAGTTGAGGCAACACTTAAGATTTACACCCTTGGTGGGGTTTGCCTGGAGAAAAGAAGCCACACATTGATAAATGGTGTTGGTCTCCATGTTTCTTGAAGCAAAACACTGACTAACTGAGTATTTATGACTTGCTCACCTCCTCTCCTGCCCCATCCACCTCCCACAGACCGCACTTGGCTGCCTGTAAATCAGATCTGTCACTGATGCTAAAAGACCCAGTTCCCACTACATGTCTTAAGGGAGATCATCTCTCTAAAATATGCTGCAGCTCAGTTCATCTACAGACTAGATATTACGTAAAATCTAATCAATGTGAAGTTTAGCACATATTCTGCCTCATCTCACATTGTATCAGAACGAACAGAGGTGGAACAAAGTACTTCCTGTGTTTCTTTTGTGTAACATTTGACCTGCTGGACATCTGACCTGACTTACACTGGTTCGATGTATAATGACATCCACAGGCACTCATTTACAAACAGAAAATGCTGCACACATGCTATTAAATCCTACGTGAAGCAGTGTTTATTGTGGATGGCGGAGTGGTAGGCTGTAGTCAGTGCTGCTGACGTCACCTCTATTCTCTGGGAGCCGGCTGATTAACTGTATATTAGAGCTGAGAGGCCTGAGTTTTGTTGGTTAGTGGTGGCTGGGGCCAGCTAGACCTGAGGAGTCCACCTCTTTGTTTGTTTTACTACTTAAAAAACCAGCTGTGGTCATTTCCTTGCAGCAGTGCTTTCTGTCGAATGTTCGCTCAATAAATATGTAGCAGCTCATGATGAAAATTGAAAAAATAGTTTCACATGCACCGTTTCCACGTCTCTCTTAAATGGCAATCAACACAAAGTATGTTTTGTTTAAGCAATTTCATGATTCCTAATTGCTTTCCCTGTCCTTCTCTGTCACGCAGATGGGTTGAAGGCTTACACAGCTCCAGTGGGTCACCTCATGCACTTGCCCGGCATGTCCGTCTATCTGAACGACTCCACCTATGACGGGAGCACAGAACAAGGGTACAATATTCAGATGGTCTCAGCATTATATTGCCATTTTTCATTTTTATGTATGAGTAGGCATCTCATTTCCATAGATTCCTGGATTTCATTTTTATGGAAATGTGTGGATGTGACCCTTGCTGTAAATGACTACACTGCCGTGACAATGACTATTATAACAATTGAGGAATGTTACTGACAGGAATGTGGGCTACAATGTGGCTCGATCAGTGGCATACTTGGAAAAGTTTCTCTGCAGTGCACTTCACATCTGCTAGCACTGAAGTGGGGTTTCTGCCAAATCCTTGAAAGTTTATTCTGTCAGCCTAATCCAAAGGGAGCGACATTATTTTCTTAGTTGCTCTGGGTTTTGATGCGTGCTTCCTGGCCATAATGTTTTGGCAGGGAGCAAAGGAGGGGTGAATCGGGGAGGTGGGTGGCGCTCCACACTTGGATGGGTCCTGCAGTTAATGGGGCAGAAATGTTTTGCTTGTGTGTGAGCTAGAACTTTTGATGCTATCCAGAAGTACTTGTAACAGATGTTTGTGTGAGGGCTCATGTGGGACGTATTTGGTGACCCTGTTGTTTTGGCAAGAGGTTGTATTGTTGTGTGTGTGTGTTCATCTTTGCGTGCTCATACATAAATGTGTTTAGAAATAGAAAATGACAGCAAAGCACAGTTCCTACCATCATTGTTTGTACAAAGCATATTAAGCCACAGCGCTTTGCGTGTGCAGGATGCAGTTTGGAGGCTTGGGTCAGCTATGTGACGGTGTCCTGGGAGGAGACGACTTCATACAAACCAAGGAGCTGAGGGTGTGGCCCGGCTATGACTACCTGGGCTGGAGCCGAGAAGCCCTTGGGCAAGGCAGTGTGGATATTGAATTCGATTTTGAGAAACCACGTGTCTTCCACAACATGCAGGTAGGCACTGAAAGTTGCGTTTGTGTGTAACAGTGCATGTGTTGCTTTGTGTTAATGACTGTGACGGGTGATGCAGAACAACTTAAGCTGCCTGTAAATCAGAGATGCCATGAGGCTGAAAACCCTGTTTCCTGGTCTGTATGTTGAGGGAGACTCTCCCTCTAAATCGTGATTTTTATGCACCACAATGTTCATCCACTGTACATCCACATCACAGCACTTCATCCACAATGAGATGATGCAAAAATCAAGTTGTATGCACATACAGTCTTTTATTTCATCAGACCACATGTCAGTGTCCTACCTGTTTTGCTGTGTGTGAATTATTGTAAGAGGATTGCTGGACATTGTTATCCCACTGGGATCTGTGTCTCAACCCCCATTAAGAATAGTAAACAGAGCATCTTTGCTGCCTGGTGGCTAAGATGCACACTGTGTGTTGTTACTGTAACTTCCTTTTAGGTGCCAAATGGAGACCTTTTCCACCTTTTACTGCCAAAGACCTGATTTAAAATGTGAAACTGCTTGATATATAATATATTCTGCATATTAAAGACGTAAAACACATTTTATTTAACTTAAGGTCTCAAAATTCAATTCCGTAACATATATTCCCGTTCAATGAGAAGAAAACTAAGATGACAAAGTGCTATTTGTTAATGAATGCATTGTTTTGGTTAATAATCCCATAAGCCTAAAACAAGCATGTCATTGTAGTTATAGTCGGACATTAGGCTGATTGTTTTCCCATCTAAGAAAACTCCTGAGAAATTCCTGTAGCTCGAAGCAGGATGACCTCTGAAACAAACTACAACAATATGGCTGTGTGCTTATCTCATTTTCTTCCCAACAATTTTAACTGTCTTGATTTGCCATCTCAGGAAGAAACGTTGTGCGCTGAATAGCTCTGCAGCCGTTTAATTAGTTTGAATGCATCATTGTTTATCATTGGACAATACAGCTGTGCTCGTCTGTCTGGGAGCCACCAAATTGCATCACAGTCTGTTTGTGCGTCTGTGTGGCTTTTGGGGTTAGTGTGTGGAGCAACGAAGGGGATAATAATATTAAGCAACCTAGTTTGAGTTAGAACTGTGGTGTCTCATTGGACGTGGTTAGGAATGTTGGTTTGGGTGAGATGAACGCTGTGCAAGTGCATATGAAGCAGCCTGAATCCCCAGGCCGTCTTACAGCGGCACCAGTAGTCTTTTAGGCGCCTTTCTGGGGGATTTTACAAAAAGTTCTGGATGCTCTCTCTCTCTGTTTTTATTCTTCATGTGTTCATTGTACCCCAGTTACCTTTTTAAAATCTCCCTCAGTCCTCAGACCTCCCTTCCTCCCTTCTTAGTGTTTTCTTAACAGGCCTGTCTTGTTTTGCCTGCCCTCTCCCCAGGGGTTTTCCCCACACTAACCTCAGCAGACATGCCCTTGTGCTGGCCTGACTGAGCGGATATGTCAGAAACACGGGTCAAATAAATACAAAATGGGAACGTAACACTGATCCTGACTTGCCTTGTCTCTGCAGGTCAGAGTTCCTTAACCTGTGACTTCCAAAGGAAAATCTGCTCTTTAACCTTTTGTCAGGCATAATCTCCACCTCCAAGTCCCTTAACAGACTGGGGACACACTCATCTGCTTTTGTGGATCATTTAAGCTTTTTTCCCCTAAAGAAAGTAGATCTCCTTGATTCTCTTGATGTATTAGAGCCATACCTTTACCACTAACATGCAGTACATACCCACATACCCCCTTTTTTCCCCCCTTCCCCATAGATATGTGTGCATAATAACAGAGTATTTGGTGCAGCTGTTTGGCATTCATCTTATATGCGTGTGTGCATTAACATGTGGATTTGGTTAGTGTTTGGCCCTGCAGTGTGTAAGGTTAATGGCTACGCTGTCAGTCCAACCTTTACACTAGTTCTGCCATCTCCTCCTTAATTTTCCACCTCTCTGATCTATAGTATTCACGAGGGATTGGTTTATGTGTTGTTTTTTTTTGTGTGTGTGTGTGTGTGTGGGTACATATGTTCACACATTAAATCTTACATTAAAAGCATTTCACAACAGGGAAGCTGTCATTCATAACTAAGCTGTTATGCCCATGTTTCGTGGTACTTTGTGGCTGCTTCCTAACTTAACTGCCAGCTGTTAGCGTAGCTTTAGCCACTGTGAAAGTAGCTAATTTCTCGATTTGTCATGATGGCTTGTGCACTTCAGTTTTTTAATGTTGTGTCTGTGTTAGAAAGATATGTCTCTCCGTTAGGGCACCTTGCTAACATTAATCTTCAGAGAGATGTTGTGGATGCTCGTGATAGCCTTAGCCTAGCATCAGAATACATTCTCAATTGCGGTGACACCAGGTTACTATATGGGCCTTTTCAGTGCAACAGGAAAACTGGGCATGCTTTTGTAAGATTGCAGTGTTTATAATGACTTCAGCAGTGTTTACTACCTCACCTTCGAACCACTGCTCTGCCCTGCAAATGCTCTTCATCTATCCATGTTTGTACACCGTAGTGTTCAGTGTTGATTGGCTTTTTGTCGGGAAGCGTAGGAGCCATTTAGACAATGCTCTGGGGGGATGCTGCTTTAGCTGCAGCAGAGCCTATGTAGCACATTTAATTTATTCTATCGAGAATCGGTTAAAAATCAAATATTTTTGCAACCACAAAACCGATACCAATAATTGGAAAACGGACAAATATCAGCCCCAATAATTAGACAGCTGATAATTGATCTGTCCCTAGTTTTGACCTCTTTCTTGCTCATTTAATAAACCTCTATCTTCCTTCACATCCCCCTCTTCTCCTCAAGCGCTGCTTTCTCCTTCCAGCCACAATGACGCCTCATATATTAGACCAGCTTTTATGGATTCTTTGTCTCCCCTTCTGTGTTCCATTTTTGATCATTTGCAGTCCTGCACCGTTCTAAGTCGTGCCAAAGCAATTATGGCTGAACATAAAAAGAATGTGTAAATAATTTTGTGCATTAATTTAATCTCTTAATTGCCTCTCTACGAATAATAAATGAAAAAAGGTTCCAGGTATTTGCACAAAGGTCGAACTACTTGTGTCGGTAGTTAAAGGATTTTCTAACTGATTGCTCCTCTTTCTTGTGTCTTTTCCCTTTTCTGCACTCACACATCTCCCTCACATAGGTGCACAGTAACAATCGCCACACGCAGGGTGTACGAGTCTTCAGCAAAGTCGAATGTCTTTTTAAACCTGGCATTCTGCAGCCCTGGTCTTCCCCTGCCCTTACCCTGCCTGTGCCCCTCGAGGATCTGAAGGACCCCTCCTCCCGGCCCATCACCCTACCGCTCGGCGGACAGGCGGCTCAGATCCTTCGCTGTAAATTCTACTTTGCAGACCGTTGGCTGCTCATCAGTGAGATATCCTTCCTCTCTGGTATGAAACACAATTAAAATGGTCAGATTTTCCTTTGTCTTATGCTTGTCTGACTCAGACATGCAATTATACTTCTGAAGTGTCCTCTCACTTGTGTCACATCCTGGCAACCATGTCTATCCTGAAAGTCCAGCAGAGATTTGGTTTTGCCTAAAATATACAAAAACTGTGACTTTAAGTCCAAACACCATTTTTAACTGTTTAGAGTAAAAGGTAAATAAAATGAAAATAGCGTGCTAGATTTGTTTCCAGACCTAATGTGACAAAATCATACTCTGAGTCAGGTTTTTGTCCTGGATGTGTCCTTTTAATTGATTTAAGGTGTGAACTTTCTGACAGAATATGATGTTGTTTTCTCCACACAGAAAACATTAGCAACACAAATTCTTACCCCAAATAGTTGAACTCAAGCACATCATTTTACAAATATATAGGCCTCCTATAAACTTGTATCAGTTAGTGTTTACAACTTTTGAAGTTTATCAACTTTGGAAAATAGCTGGTACCCCTCCATCGTCATTGTCGTCCTCACTGTCTTCCTGTGTACCGGCTGGAACAGGTCCATTCAGCAAAAAAACGCTTGAAAGATGAGATTTATGCCTTTTTGAATGGAAGTCAGATAGAGGACCCCTCTGCTCTCCAGTTGAGACTGCTGTGACTAATTAAACTGTCTTCTCTAGTCAGACACACTGTCACTTGCGGTATGATAAGAATCTGCAAAGTGCACTTTATTCAAACCAAACTCAGGTTCCTGAAATTACTTGACCCAGCAGTGACACGGCTGGTTGATGGACCCGTGCCAGGCTATTGATAAATGACAAATGAGAACCGTTGATCTTGCACACTGGTCTGGTTTAAGGTCCTGATACTGCGGTATTCTAGCACAAGGGCTGCAGGCTGGAGTCCATGCTCCCAATGCATGCCTCTGAATGTACTTATATTGGTTAGTTTACTCACATCTGGTACCAGAACCAAGTACCAATTACATCAACTTGCTGCCTGGGTGACAAACTCTTAGTGAGTGAACTACCAAAGCAGGCCAAAACTGAAAATGAAGTGGGGATTTTAGAAACAGATATTCTTTATACATTTTAATCTATATGAACTTTGGCAATTATTCCATCTGATTTCAACAGCACTGAGCCCTGCATCTTCAGTGCTATCTGCTTCCAGAAACCGAACACCCTCCACCTCCCCAAAACAGAGATCATTTGTTTGCCACTTAACTGGTTTCGACCTATAAACATAATGAGTCATCTCAGTCAATGAATAACAGATCAGTTCCCAGTCAAAAACAACACAATTATGTATCCTGAAATAAATGGTGCTTTTCTGGAAACACAAACTAGCTCTCACCACAGTCAGTGTTTACCGACAGCTGAGGACTGCTAAAAGGTTTGTTATGCCACATGAAAAAACCCTTAACCGTACAAACATGGTTCATTTTCATGAAATATTCTGCTCCTCTCCCTTTCTTTCTCCCTATCCAGAGCCATTTGAGGAAGATGTTACAGGCGCTGATTCATTTCCTCACAATTTTCCCAAGAATCGCAACACCAGTTCTTTTCCTCCTCCCGTTAACCAAACCACCTCTCCTCCTACATCAAGCTCCTCCAGCACCACCGCCCGGCCTTCTGGTGAGTCCTGCGTTTCCCCTCTTCCTCTTTATGCTCCCACTCTTCTTTCTCTGTTGTCCCCTCCTCATCACCCACTATTCATCTACCCCTCCATGCTGCTCTCTTCTACTTTTTAAGTCCACGATCTCTCCATCGTGGCCCCTTTCCAGTGTGCACATCTCTTTTTCTCCACTTATGTGTGGCATTTTAGCAGTGTGTCTAATGTGTCTGTCTAAATCAGAACCAAAGGCAGGCAGTGCAGTAGGAGGCTTGTGTTTGACTTGCCTCCTTGTCACAGACACTTTGGCTCAACCCAAGTCGATGCTAGATGCTCGTCTGTATCATCACAGTCCTACTTCTAAAGTGTTGATGTGAACTTTTACAGATTTTTCACTTCGATGGCTGAAACCCAAATGAGCTACACTCTCCATGTATTTTCTCGCTCTCTTCTGAATCCTCACCTCATTTCTCACACATTCCTCCTTTGTCCATCCCTCACTTCCTCCAGACCCCCCCTTCACTACCACCTTCATGATGGACACCACTGGTAACTGGACACTGGCAGGTGAGAGCAAAAGCTAAAAAGTCGACTCAGAGGGAGGGGAGCTACCTTTATCCTCTCTGACCTTCCTCTAGCGTCGCACAACTGTCCCACTGCTCCGTAAAGAGCATGCAGAATAACAGAGGAAGGATTACAGGGGCAGGCTTTGGCACAGTTCTCTGTCCCCTGGGTTTGAGGATATACAGCTCTTAGAAAAAAACACTAACCGAGCTAGTAAATTATATCTATGTACAATAACAACTTGGCTTCCTGTGGTCTTACAAACTGCATGTTTTTTTTCGGGAACTCGCTGTAGTCTGCACAACTAAACAATACCAGGCTTTTTACAAAGCTGGAAATGGTTTTCTGTGGCGTGTATGCTGCTTTTTTTCCTTGTTACTGGTTGTGGTTGAACAACTTTGTTTGGGTTTTTTTATTGCCTGTGTGGTGTTGAAGTGACACAGGGAGAGAGAAGGAGGTTGTCTTCTGTTGTGACAGTGCTGTGTCTAAATCCTTGGTGGATAAATGTGTATTAATTAGGCTGGGCACAGATGTGTACTTGTTATGTGTTTATGTGCACTCATGCCCTTAAAGACCTCATTTGTGTGTATATGTAGTGTGCATGCCTAATTTGCTGGGCCTTCTTACCTGAAATATTTGTTTCAAAGTGTTATTAATACCTATAACAAAAGAGAAATGATAACTTGATGATTCAGAATAATAGTTGAATGTAAAGCTGCTGAAAAACAGTTTTGACATATTGTTCTCTGACGACCTCTGTGGTATGAACAAAACAAACTAAACTCACACAAAAAAATCTGCATCAGATGTTTTGTACGCCTGATAAAAATATGCTGGGGTGCGTGATCCCACTGAGTGTGTGACTGTGCTGAAAGAACTAAAGCGCAGTCTGTACTGTACACACAAACCCACACACACAGGAGTCCAGACACGCAACATTGGACCCATAACAGTAACATTTCATCCTGTATTTGTCTTCTCTAGGGCCTGAAGTTGGTGGTACTCCAAGACCAGGGCTTCCTGTAGCAGTAGATGATGGCAGTAATACTGCCATTCTGATTGGCTGCCTGGTGGGCATCATCCTGCTGCTGCTGGCTGTGATAGCTGTCATTCTTTGGAGACAGTATTGGAAAAAGATCCTGGGCAAGGTAGGTCCAGACTGAGGTCACGTGCAATGTTTTAGCTGAATTTTTAAGCACCTATTTCTGTTTTTAGTTGGTAATATGGGGCTTTCAAAAGGTCAGGTCACAAATACATTTTCATACTTCCCACTTTTTTTCCCCCAATACTTATACCCACCCATCAAGTCTTCATTTTAGCCAAACTTTTTAAACATCTGCCTCTTACATCTGCTGCTAAACCTTTGGCTCTCCTCAAAACTTTGGAAAGTACACTTGAAAAACTCTTCATCAGTTAGATTTTCCACATTGTGCCAGTTACTTTCGATAAGCCATAGATCTTGTTGTTACCAGCTAGCATCTTTCTAGGGAATAAATGCCCCTCAGGGAGACATTTTTTGTGTGATTAGGCTGAACTGCTGCTTTACCAATTTTAAATAATTGATAGCAGTCTGGGATAACAGCTGCCAGTCCTTTGGCAGAGTACCGCTACATCTCCTTGTGGATGTGCTTTAGGAATCCTTTCACACTCAATGCTAATTGTTCAAAGATTACAGTCTGTTTCTAGAGTTGATCTCACATCTACTTGAGTGATTGAAGTGCATTTATACGACCTGTACTTCAGTGAATTCTTTGCCTCCCAGGCCCAAGGTAGTCTTTCCAGCGATGAGCTGCGCGTTCACCTGTCCGTCCCTTCAGACAACGTGGTCATCAATAACACACACAGCTACTCAAGCCGCTACCAGCGCATCCATACTTTTCCGGATGACCGTGACCATGACAGAGAGGGAGAAGGGGAATATCAGGAACCCAGTGCTCTGCTCCGGACAAGAGATCACAGAGACAGCACAGGTAAGTCATAAACACATAATTGCAGTTATGTAGTACATTGGGAGAGCTGTCATGATACCTATGGGCTTCATTGTTTCTCAGTAGACTGATTAAAAACATGAGTAGCAAGACAAACAACATGCGGTAAAACCTGCTAGATAGACCAATAGTGAGCACACAACTGACATGAATCAGTGGAAAATTTGACCCAGCCCTCCATTGTACAATATTTCAAATTCTACAAACTTGTATGTGGTTTGTACAGATTGCTTTGTTTGCATGTCCATGTTTGTGTTCGTTTCTATCAATAAGCAAACTCATTTGGAGAGGGCAAACAGCAGGAGGAAAAATGTGACATGCATATTAGGAAAACAATGGTATTACAATACAATTCACCACACCAAAGAAAAATGAATCATACCAAATGCCCTGCAAGGGAGAGCGCTTTCAGAAAGATGCCCTGCACAGAGGAGGCACAAAAGAGCTATTGTTCTGAGGAAAGAAATAAAAAGAAGAGAGGAAGGGAAAAAAAAAGAGTGAAGAAAGAAAGAGTACATTTCTTCACTTGCAATATACCACAGAAAGTCGGCCTGCCATCTTTACTAGAAGCCTGTGTGAGTTTGAAACAACATTAATTCATCCACTGGTTCTTGTTATGTTTGGTCGTGGCATGAGTTGTGTTAACTTGCATGTTGTGATGCTCTTCCGTTCTGTGCTCAATGTGTGTCATGCTAATGGTTGCTAATGTGTTTTGTTGTGTTTGTATTTTGTGTCCTGTACCATGTTGTACGATCTGTGCGATCCATATTGTGGTGCCTGTCTGTACCCCACCTCGTCCTCTGCATCTTTGTGTGTTTATGTGTATGTGCCCTCCCAGCATTGCTGTTAAACAACCCAGCCTATCATCTGCTTCTACCAGACCCCAGAAAAGGCCTGAGAGCCCTAGTCGTCCCCAGCTCCACACAGGCTCAGGAAAAGAGCCTCAATGTGGCCCAGGGTAAGACGCCTAAGACTGGGCAAAACACAGTCAGAGGGCTGTACTGCGAAGCCAGATTAGTGGGTTAGCGAGGTGTGTCGAAGCAGAGTTTTCAGTGTCACGAAGGTGGCTCTATTTTATCCTGCGAGATCTCCATGGTAACTGATGCTGTTGAGCTAACCTGGTCAGGAGCAGGTTATGTTCAGTTTCGGGTTTAAATCGGCTTGAAGAAGCGTCTCCCTTTAACCAAATTGCTTCCTGACAATTCTTTATGAGCGATACAGATTCTCAGCTGAGAGAACGGGGTTTATCTGCAAACCTGTTGAGCTGCACGTTACTAATATCACTGAATAAAGCCGTACAGTTACAGTATCACACACTGTATGCATCACGTTGCCACTGAACACAACATGTATTTAGTTGATGATGCAGAAATCACATAAATATATTTTTATATTTGGCTCTGATTTGCTGTCAAGTCTGTTTACATGCTGGTACTGCAGCATAAGAAATGGATTATTCTACTTGTATTTATTACCAGACAATATTCAATCAGTAACATTAGTTTCTCTTTGATTTGGCCAAAAATTAAAGTGATGTCCTGCCTTATGACACAGTGTCAGATCCAGGTGCACTTCAAAACAATATTATGTTTAAATATATGAAGTTTTAATGTTAAACCATTTCAGTGTGCAGCCGTCAGTTAGAAATAATCAGCTGCACTGATCTGTAAAATAAACATATTAACCAACAATTAACAGTTTTCTTCCAGCATTCCTGTTTTGCATCATTTGCAGTAGCAGTGCTTTTTAATGTCATACATTTTTATATTCCTCATTGTTCTCCATTATAACAACGTGTTGACTGATGCAGCTGCACATGATCGTTTCATTTAGTGCAGAAGAAGAGTCACGTGATGCGCTAAACGCCTCCTTTTATGTGAACACACGCAGAGTTTGACGCAGGAAAGTCTGAGTTGACAGAAAGTTGAGAACCACCTTCGTGATAGCCGTAATCTCTGACTGGGGTTTTAGTTTTTGTCGAGCCAGCTTACACAAAGAAAGTCTGGCTATGTCAAAATGGCTTCGTGATGCAGCCCTCTGGAGGGGCTCCTCTCTCACTACCTACCTCCCTGTCTAGAATAGAATCACCCAGGTTGGGGCAGCAGAAGTGCTGTCACCATTACTGCACCAAAATTGTTAAGATGTTTTTTTTTTTGTTTGTTTTGTATGTTTGGTCGTTGATTTTTTTTGCATGTGTAACCTTCATCATCTCCCTGGTAACTTGAATAATTAGTCACTCATATTCTCTCACCATTCAAAAGACTGTTGCTTTGTTTGAAGAGATAGTTTGGCCTTGAAGGAATGATAAAATGTTTAACACTTACCAAGAGACCACTAAATTCAGATTTAAATTTTTTTGTGTGTGTTTTTTATTAAGTCTAGCAATGAGCTAAGCTGAACTCATGGCAGTGCTCCAGTGGCAGCATGGTTTTACCGGCGTGTTCCATGTTGTAATATCCTGACTACTATAGATGCCCACTCATGTTTCATGATCCTTGACTTTTCAGTTGGCGCCACCAGCTGGTCAAAGATTATATGTACCAAGTGAAATATGTTCAAATCAACTCAAAGTATTGTGCTGATATTTTGTATTGATATTTATAGTTTCTTCATAATTTTATGACTTATGTGATTTCCTCTATTGCCACCTGGACACTGACATTTTTGGGTTCAAGTGAAATATTATTTTTTAGATGGATTGCCATCAAAGTTGCTTTGATGCAGAGTTTTCTGCACAGAGGAGGCACAAAACACCTGCATAACTAATTACATTCTCATCGGTTTCTTCTTCATGATGTAATGATAAATGTATTTGAATGAGCAGATCACAGAAATGACAATGCAAAATACATTCATACATTTGTAATCATGTACTACTGTTATAAGTGAGGACAATGTAGACATCCCTGCTGAACACTGAACTTTCTGCTGGTAGACAGTTTATCTGCATAACTCCTGCTTCAGCTCAGCACCTCAGTAGATGAATAAGCTCCCAGTTGTCCACAGAAGTATCTCTTATATATTTACAATAATCAATGACCTTGTATTTGGTCAGATTTGCTGATGAATCTAATTTTTGCCATCTCCCTGTTTATTTTTGTATTACATGTATTTTTTGTTTTATGCTTTCTATTTTATATACAGAACTTTGTAAAATTAGGGTTCAAAAAGTTTTATTGTTGTTCAAATAAATTTCCCCCAAATTTAAGCGACCCCTTTTACATTAAGGTGTCTGAATTTATATTGATTCGTTCACTCACAAACAAAACTGTTTCTAATCACACACTTCTTCTTTAGTAATATCTCAGTTTCACCCACACTCTCTTCCTCTTCCTCATCTCTCCAGCCTGTGGTTTGGACTTGGACATGGAGAAGGGTTTCCCCCCAGTGCACGACGAGCCTCCTCCCTACCCCGGCTCCCCTCCTTACCCCTCCCTGTCTCCGCCTGTGTCTCCCCCGCTGCCTCCCAGCGTCCCCCACTACGCTGAGGCAGACATCGTGAGCTTGCAGGGTGTCAGCGGTAACAACACCTATGCCGTGCCTGCCTTGACTTCCTCGAGCCCCGGGGCCGAAGCTGCCCTGCTGCCGGAGCTGTCGCGTCAGTGTCTCATCTTCAAGGAGAAACTGGGAGAGGGCCAGTTTGGGGAGGTGAGAAACAAGATGAAAAGAAGTGCTTGTGGATGGCAGGGGGCATCGTTACTGAAACAAATACCTGTGTTTTTGTCCTTAAAGGTGCACCTGTGTGAAATTGAGAACCCTCAGGACCTTCCCAATTTGGAGTTCCCCTTCAATGTCAGAAAAGGTCGCCCTCTTCTGGTAGCTGTGAAGATACTGCGCCCAGATGCCTCCAAGAATGCTAGGTCTGGACCATCATATGCTCATCCACTCAGTCTGGACTCTAGTTTCAGTGTGGTTCACAGTTTTCTTTCTGTTTCAACAGCTTGTATCCTCTTTCACACTTCCTCATTCGTTCATTGAATTGGAGCATTCTCACTGATCATAGTCTTTCTGAAATATCACAGCATATTTAAAAGAGCCAAATCGATTATTTGTCATTGGCAAGCAAATGTAGTGGAAAAAAATGACTCGTTGTCAGGTTCCACCTTCTGAAATGGCAGTACTGTTTGCTTGTACTACAATAATTATTACTATAGTAACAGAAAACAGTGAAACAAGACTTGTAGGATACCGCCTTGAGTTCTGCGAGGCTGCGATTTTCATTTTACACTATATTTGACATTTTTTGTGTGTTTTTTCACCTGTATTTATGTTATTCCTACAAATATGACAGGAGGTTTTGGAGGAATGTACCAAAGTATTATGTATATATGTAAGTTTTTACTTACAGTTACGGCTAGACAGAGATTTTAAAGTCATATGTGGCCTTTAGAGGGTAAAGAGCACAGGCCAGACCAGCGTTCATGTACTACATAACAAACAATCCCACTCACACAATCTCTCAGTTTAGCCTTTGTTTGGCTCATCAGCTCCAATGAAAAAAAAATCTAGGTGTTGGACTGTCTTCGGCTAATGCTTGTCAACTTTGGCTCTTTATGCGTTTTGCATTGAGCAGCATGTGTGAGCGTTTGTTCTGGGAGTGCCTTTTCACAGGTTTATACATGAGGTTTGTGAGAGCCGGAGCAATGCAAACAAAACAAATCAATGAGAGAAAAAGTGTGGAAAGCCACATAAAGCTGCAGGCTGGGGCGTTAAAGATTAGAGGAATCAGCAGCCTCTTCTCTTAACTGGATTGTAGCAATAAAAGCGGTGCTTGGTAGTGCTGTAATGTTCAAGTGTGATATTTTTACATTAGGCCAGTGAAGGAACCCACATTCTGCATTATTTTCTCCATATTCTGCCTTTGCTTTATCTCCTGAATCTCACTTGTGCGTATCCTGGCAGAAACGACTTCCTGAAAGAGGTGAAGATTCTGTCTCGCTTGAAGGACCCGAACATCATCCGACTGCTGGGAGTGTGTGTGAGCAGTGATCCCCTCTGCATGGTCACTGAATACATGGAGTGTGGAGACCTGAACCAGTATCTCTCCCACCGAGTGCTTCTGGACAAAACCGGACCTTCACACAATACGCCAACCATCAGGTGCATACAAATGTACACACACACACACACACACACACACACTTACACAACAGTAACAGTTTTTATTTACTATTTCCCATCTATCCCCCCCAGCTACCCTGCCCTCATCTCCATGGCCAGCCAGATTGCATCAGGAATGAAGTTTCTCTCGTCTCTCAACTTTGTGCACCGGGATCTGGCCACGCGTAACTGTCTGGTCGGGGGCGAGAAAGGTGAAAGGGGAGAGGACCGAGGTGGTGAGCGTCACATCAAGATAGCTGACTTTGGCATGAGCAGAAACCTGTACGCCGGAGACTACTACAGGATCCAGGGCAGAGCTGTGCTGCCGATACGCTGGATGGCCTGGGAGTGCATACTCATGGTGAGAGGCCAGGAATATGCGTATTTGTGCAGCTGACGGTGTGTGATGGTTGTAATTCTGTATGTTATATTGCTGATCAGAATGTGTACTTAGATTTTTTGTTGTGCTTTTGGGACGGTGACAGCCTGAGGCCCGAGGCATCGTGTGGTTTAGTCTGTATGTCCCATTCTTGTGAACATAGCATCTCTCACGCAACTGAAGGCAAATCCTTCAAATTCAGCACAAATGTTTACTTGGGCTCAATGATGAACTGATTAGATTTTGGTGGTCGAGGTCACTGACTTCATAAAACATGTTTCTGACAATAATTTGATACTAGAGGTGATATTGATGATGAAGAAGATGACTGTGTCATTGTGTGTTGGTGTGTCCTCCCAGGGGAAGTTTACCACGGCCAGTGATGTGTGGGCGTTTGGGGTCACTTTATGGGAGATGCTGAGTGTCTGTCAAGAGCAGCCGTACTCCAACCTTACAGACGAACAAGTCATCGACAACGCTGGGGAGTTCTTCAGAGACCAGGGCAGACAGGTACATCACACATCCATATTCAACACATTTACTGTTTTTCAGTCTGAAGCTGAAACTTCACTTTTAAACCAGGGATGCACAACGACACCTGCATCATCATTGGTACTGGCTGATAAAGACTTTGAATATTAAATATCAGCGTCGGTCCAGAATGAACACTGACAGGCAGATAATACCTTTTTTACTTCCTTTCCCACTGAATATGCGAATTTGAAAGGCATTGTGTTGTGTATTTGCTTCTGCCAGTAGATACTACTACACTAGAGGTCTGTTGTCTGCAATTAAATGGAAAAAAAATATGTATATCATGGCTTCGTTAATGAGTTTGAAAAAAATCAGCAAAAATCCAATACCCTGTGTCGTCTTCTACACTGCAATTTTTGCGTAATGTTTAAGGTTGCGGTAGATTTAAATGGCCCCAAAAAATTAACACAGCATAAGCGTCACATATTGTATCAAGTTTTCAGTCTTTAGGCTCAGTAGGTAACAGTTAGTCATCAATTATTTCGCGTCCTGCAGAAACAGAGCAGATGTTTCTTTTATTCATATGTTGAAGACAAGTACAATACTGAGCGTTTGGACTCTAAACTATAACATTACATATTATTTTGTTGCTCCAGATGAATAATAAATACTTACTCTGTGTACATCAAAGTTTGCTGAAACTCAAACTGATGATGAACAGTAAGGAGTGACTGTCACAGTAACGAGACAAACAGTTACATAAATGCCAGATATTTTGAAATAATATATATTATATCAAAAATATTTTGATATCTGGGCTGGAGCCGAATAGCCGAACAGCCGAGTATTCGTTCGCTGCGCTGGAATCGGGATCTCAATTTTGATCTCCGAATATCCTTCAGTAGAAGGGATAGCCTCAGTAGAACAGCAAACCACATCTGTTTGACCCTCTGTTCTCAGTTAGACGCTTCAACAGACTGAAAAACAGCTTCTAGCCCAGACCCACAGGAGAACTGACCTCTGCCAAACACTCTCACTAACCATCTGGACCTGAGTGTCTACCAGCAACTTAACTACTACTTTATGCACCTTGTATTTATTTATAATGCACTGAGAGGATTTTTAATTAATTGTGCAATGACGATGTCAAGAATACTAATCTAGTCTAAACTGCATTCACAATATCTGTCAGAAGAATTGCAGTTCTGTTCTTCTCAATCATTCAGCCCTGATGTACCCTGGTACCAGAGGCCCTCTAGTGGCTGACATTGGGGATGCAGCTGTGTGTTGCATTTTTTAAATAATAAATAATGTAATACAGACTACAAGTACAACTTGTATCCACATTAGTTAAAAGCAGGAAATTAAATGTATTGGGCCAACAAATTAAATGTGAAAACTGAATGTGACAATTGTTCTTTTGTTAGTTTGTTTTTTCCTCATATTACCTTGCCGTTGTTTAAACCAGGTGTGATTTATTGTGTGAGGAAAACGAGGTATTCAAGTGTATAATCTCCATCTCCATACACCTCTCTCGCTCTCTGTTGCAGGTCTATCTGAGCAGGCCGGCCGTGTGTCCTCAGGGTCTTTATGAGCTCATGTTGAGCTGCTGGAACAGAGACTGCAAGCTCCGCCCATCCTTTGCTTACATCCACTCCTTTCTTACAGAGGACGCCATGAACATGGTGTAAACAGAGAAGCAGAGAAACACAACAAGGAGAAATGCAATGCTAGACAGGGGAACCAGCTTATACGTTCTTCCACCCTTGCTACGGTGGGAAGGCGTGGTGGAGGTTGCACACAGAGCAGATAAATAGGAAGTAGGGTGCTCGCTTTTTATTTTGTACTTATTGGGTGGATGGGCAGAGAGACCGCTGGTTCGGTTTTATTTTCCGTTCAGACCCCAAAGACGAATAACAGTCCAAGCTACATTTCTGCGGTTGGTGATGAGTGCAGTCTGCATAGAAACTTTGTCTCTTCTCAGATACTTAATTAGGGAGGGTTAGTGTTGGAGGTGATGAAGTTGATGATGCAGCCAGCTACATCACAGGAAATAAATAGCCAGCTGCAGATGGCAGGCTTCTCTAACCTGGGTGATGGATCTTAACGTTATCTCAGCCCCATATTCATACATAGCAAACCACAAGTTCAACTCTTGTTTTTGTGGACTAATGTGAAATGGAACAGACAACTCTCGCCCCCTTTCTGTAATGTGATTACATCTAGTTTGCCCCCGCCCCCAAATCTCCATCTTTGAGCCACGGAGAAAAAAAAGTACTGTGTACCTGGTGCCAAATGGACTTCCCAAACCTGAGGAAAGAGGCACAGAAGAGGAAGGTCTGCTGCTTCTGTGAATGAGACGAGACCCGCAACCTTAAACAGAGACGATGCTGCCGGGCGCGTGGATGTGGCACCTGCTGAGGTGTTGGCAGTTTCTTTTTTTTTATATATATATATATATTTGGCTGTGACTCAGTCAAAAAGATGTAAAATTCCACAACCAGCTGCACTTTAAACCCCTACATGCATATCCGCGGCCATGATGACCCTCTTCTCTGTGATGGACCTGAATGATATGATTCCTGTCAGTGTGGATTCTGATGCATTTTAATCGTGTAAGACAAACTCTGTTTGCCTTACAACTTTCGCTACGACAAAGGCATTGCCAAACCATTAGATGTAAAATATTCTTTTTAAAAATGGAGTGGCATCCTCAGTTCATTTTAAATGTATGACTACCTTTTTTTTTTCCATAAACTTTGTGTGTTAGGACATTGCTATAATGGGGAATAGTTGGATTCCTGGTGTTAGTGTGAATGTCAACATCAACCACTGCATTATCCCATGTTAATACATTAAGCTGACTGCGGTAGACTCAATGCATCTACCTTACTGACTACATATCACTGTAAATCAGTCCTGAGATGATCAAGTAATACATGTTTACTGATTGTAAAAGGTTGTGCCATTTGTCATTTTTGATACACTGTAGTTTGAGTAACCCATATTTTTTATATATATACTGTATGTACTTAGACTCCCCTTGATGTCTGATTTCATCCTTCTGTGTCTATGAGGCTGAGCGTTACAGTATGTAAATAGTCTAAGGACAGAATTGTAATTTCCTTCACTAATATATAGAAAACTGTTAAATTTGGGGTCTCTGTAGAATGCTTGCTATCTTGATGCTATTGTAATTCACTGTGTCGTCTATTTTTGTAGATGTTTTATTAAAGCCAACCTTTTCAAATCAAGGTGTGTGTCACTGCATTCAGTTAGACTTGACTGACTTCACAAAACAAACAGACCAGCAGGGTGGTTTCAGTGATTTAAACATATTTTATTATCAGTCTATAGATAATCTTGAATATTGACACAAGCAGCCGACTTTAACACTAATCAGGAACTATTTTTCATATCAACTAAAAACAGACATGCGACAGGTTTTGAGAGAAAGCGTTAGTCACAAGAATATACGAAAGGAGTCGAGACTAATTTGGCTTTCACTTGCAGGCCATCAATAGTGATGACCAATGGCTTAAGATCAGTCGGATATGAGGAGCTATTCCCTGACAGAAGTTTTAATAAGGTCAACTACAGAGGTAAACTTGACTGAGGAGGTCTGAACAGGCACTTGGCGGTGGAAAAATGCATAAAGCTTGGAAGCTGGAAAACTTTGAATAGTTAGTGAGTCTGAAAAAAGGAGAATATAAAGTCCTGATCTAAACCACTGGGCTATGATACGTTCAAAAACCTACTAAAATCAGCGATAATCAATAATACTCGGGATCAGACTATCATAGAAAATTAGTACAACAGATAAAAAGACAATAAAAACGACACTATGTCTCATATCATTTCAGATTAAAGTCAGCAAGCAAAGGAAGGCAGCACGCTGGTTAGTGAGTCCGTAACATAATGTTCCTTACTGATTAAAAGCCGAGACTGTAACATTGACAACAAAAACTCTGCAGCTTTTCTCACCGCAACCTACTTGCATTGCTTTAAACAGGAAAACCTCATTCCTTGTTCTCATCAACCACTTCCCCCCTCCTCATTTTAAAACAAAGAAAAATCTTTCCACCTGCAGTTTGAGTTGATGATTTCGGGGCCATTAGTGTAGTCAGTTACTAAACAGACATCAGTGACGTACACTCGCAACACCTCCACTTTATAGCAGATCAGTGAGGACAAAACAAACACAGAATGCCTGATGTGTCTAGTATATATAAAAAACATGGATGTCAGTAATAATATCTCCACACACAAAACTAGAAGGTGGTGGTGTGATAAAATAACACAGCAAGATGTCCGTCGGCCATCTCACACGAACTAAATGTAGGACAGAATTAATGTCGGGCGTCCAAGCTCTGACCTGGTCGCTTCTCTACAGGGAACATCAGGCTAAAGGCTCGTCAGACTCAGAGCCTGCAGGTAAATACTCCGTGACACTGACAGTTCAGGAACACCGACATTATTAATTGGATGTGTTGCAGCAAACTCGACCTGGGCTACCTGAACTAGCTCGATTTCTTTGCTTAATTGAATGAATTGAAAGGCACAGGACATAATTTGGACAGCAGCCAGAAACTTTTCCTCTCGGGGTATCACTGGCTAAAGTGGGATGAGGCTTTTGTCTCCTCCATACATATATATATTTTAAAAAAGGGGAGCGTCGTCAGAAATTCTATCTTTTGTAGCTGCTCGATTTACAGCAGAAAGCACAACGATCTGGGACACGAAACCACATCATTGAGGAGATAAAAATTGCATCCTGTGTAGATGAAGAAGGAACTCAAATGAAACACATGCATGCATACTGACAATGAGACGGGACTATGGTGCTATGGTGTTGCGAGTCAGCACAGTGGTTACAGGCACAAGGAGATGTGGAGCTCTTCGCCTAAATATTGTCGCCAACTCTCCTGATTGCGTTCCTGCTCCCTTTCTTCTCAATACACACAGGTGGTCTTTCCTGCAGCCTGTGAGGTCAGTGAGAGGAAAATGAGTTCATTATTACTTGCACTTGTTGTTCAGTCTGGTACATAATGTGTCTGTTTTTCATACACACCTGGGAGATGTCAACTCCAGTGAGTTTCTCCACAGCCACCGGCAGCCTGGTCATGATGTCTAGCACCTCTCCAGCAAGTTTGGCTGCTCCCACCTCTGAGCCACCACTGGACACCATGGTGACCTTCTGGGCCGCTGACAGTGGCCTACTGATCTCCTCGGCCATCTGCAGAAAGATGACGAAAGAGGAGCAAAATTAAAACAGAGAAAGCAAAATCTGAAGATAAAATGTGATGAAGAGATTACCACTATTTGAATTTTATATAGAAATATTTATCTTTTTTAAAGTGAAAATGTGGGCCCCACAACGCCAACATGGAAGAGTGAAAGACCTTTGGGCTGCTTCATAACAAATTCATAAAGAAGCTGCTATATTTTGAATGACAAAATCAGCTGCATGTGCAAAAAATTACCAACAAATTCTAAATAAACAAGAATAAATTCATTAAACTTAACCATGTAAAGCTAACATACAAGGAAATAAAATTAAAATGAACTGTCTGTTCAACTACATTGATGTCAAGTGGAAGGACAAAGAAAAAAAAAGAAATCTAAAATAATAAAGTTGATTGCCCTTAATATGGATGAATCATCTAAAACTAATTCAGGCAATGCTGTTGTTTGTTTGACAATCACACAGTATTTCAAGACACAGCACCATCACTTATGTTCAGCGCTTATTTCATCTCACTGACCAATGGCAGTTTCTCCAGCAGCATGTCCACCATGGCTCCTTCTTTGTACTGCTTGAAGGATTCAGCCTTTTTGGCCATCTGCTCGGCCTCAGCACGGCCCTTAGCCTCTAGAGCGAAAGCCTCTGCGTCGCCCTTCATCTAAATGGACGCACATTAAGGGCAGGTAAGATTACGATAAAGGTGTAAATGACAACAATTTCAGGACGTACATAAAGTATGACAGGAAAGAATAGTTAAATAGATATAAATGCTACATAATTAGTGAGTAGAAAACTGCAGTGTGATAGGTTTTCTATCGATCTCCAACACTTCTCACCAAGGGTAATAAAAACGGAAGAGAAACCAGTGGCAGTACTTACTTTGATGGACTCGGCCTCGGCCTCTGCCTCCATGATGAGCTGCGCGCTGCATGACAGAAGAAACACTGAGTCGCTGCACAGAGTGTTCACAACTATACAAGATAAGGATATTATGCTCTAGCACTCACCGCTGCGCCTCAGCCAACTTCTCCAGTCGGTATTTCTCGGCATCTGCGGGCTTCTTAACTTTGGCCTCCAGCTCCTTTTCCTTGCGGATAATCTCCTGCTCCTGCAGCGTAATCTGCTGTGTACGCTCAACCACCTGAACCTGCATCTTCTCCTCCTCAATACGCTGCTTGGTCTTAGCCACCTGACATGGGGTGTAGAAGAAAAAAGGAATTTGCTCATCCTTCAATATATGAAAGGTCATCAAAATATTATCAGCCAGCCTTGGATAAAAAGACTGTGGGTGCAAGTTGATCAGGCTAATCCAAAATTTCCCCAGCATTTCTAGAGCAAAGGGAACCGAATGTCCCTCAAAAACATACTTGCAGACGGACCCTTGAAGATCAGACCGTGAGCAGATGACTGTACCTGAAGTTGATAGGCCATTTCTGACTCAGCCTTCTTGGTGTTGACCTCAACGTCATAGGCTGCTTTCTTCAGCTCGTAGTCTCTCTGGGCTTTTGCCATTTCAATCTCGTTCTTATATTGAGCTGACACCTTCTCCTGCATTGCGTGGGCTTCCTGCAAACAGACAGCAGCAGGACGGAAACAGAGAAACGTTGGTGGTACTTTTCAAAAGATGGCTCATTTCTCATTTTCAGGATGTCTTTTTTTTTTTTTTTCCATAATGTTTTTATGAACATTTTAACAGCATGAAATACAGTCATTTATATTTAGAGCATGTTGTCAGTTTGCTTCATTAACACATAATGAAAAAAATAATTAAAAAAAAAAAGTATACAAAATTAAATAAAAATGGCTGAGGTCTATAAATGCTTGTTTGTTTTTACTATAGTTATGCCTCTCTGGGTATAAACCCAACAGAAAAAGCTTTGGATCCAGTAAGATTTGTTTTGTAATTCTTTTCTCGACTGAGTTTCTTACCTCTTCCCAAAACTTTTTCATCATAGTGCATTGCCAAATACAATGAAACAGTGCCCCCCTATGTTCCATACATGTTGTGCATATGTCTGGTATGTTACTGCTGTATCGATTTAATTCCACCGGCGTCATGTGTGTCCGCATTAGCCATTTATATTGTATTAGTTTTAAGCGTGTATTAATGGATTTAGACTGTGCATCAGCACAGGCTAGTTTCCAATCTTCATCTGAGATTTCTCTCTGCAAGTCCTCCTTCCAGGCTGTTAACTTAGACTGTGAGCTTACCACATTAACATTAAGTTTGGACATTTTAAACCTCCTCGATCAAATGGTAAATACAGTAGAGTTAAACGGAGTCGTGCCTTCTTATTGTTCCATATAAATTGTAAGAATGTTTTTTTCATTTTTGAAAACATGTCTGGAGGTGGAGGCAGGGGAATGTTTTGAAATAAATAGAGTAAATTCGGTATAATGTTCATTTTCAAAATATTGATTCTCCCTATTATAGACATTGGTAGTAACATCCATTTATCTACTGACTCGTTCATTTCTGTCATTAGAAGTTCTTATTTAGTGCTGACAACATGCTCCAGCCCGGGCAAAACTTAGGATGTCTTGCTGAGCAAATAGGCAGAAGGGTGAAGATTTACCCTGATGACAGCATCCCGTTTGTACTGAGCCTCTCCAATCCTGGCATCCTTCTGCACCTGGGCTGTTCTGGCTTTACCCAGTGAGTGAAGGTAATCCTGTAAGACCACGACAGGCACAAAGAGGGGGAAACTGTGAGACCACACAGATCGAGCAGTACAAAGGAAGGCAGTGAATTAGACAAACAAAAACAAGAGATGAGGTGGTTACTACAAAAGCACTTAGGCTTAATTTATCTCTGTCATAATGGGAGGCTGGGGGTCGGTTGAGTCACAGGCACTCAATATCAATCACTTAAGAGCATTACTGTAAAAGAGGAAATCATCTAAGACTAAAAGCTTCCATATAATAAATATTGTGGGCTCACAGTCGCACTAGAGATTTCTGCCGCTTTCTTGCTTTTGGTGTGACATTCATCCTCAGGTATTTTGCCATTTGCGCATGATTAACTTAAGCAATTAAACATACCTGATCATCGTGAACATCTTTGAGCGTGTAGCTGACAACACCAATTCCCATGTTGACCAGGTCAGAGGAGGCCACTTTAAAGACTTGCTCGGAGAACTTCTTACGGTCCTGGTAGATCTCCTGCACACAAACAAAGACAGATATAGATAGATACACACACACACACGTATATATATATATACACAAATACATACAAACACACACCTCCACAGTCAAATGGGCGATAATGGCTCTCTGGTGTCCCTCCAGTGTCTCCAGTGCAATCTGAGCAATCTCACCCTCAGACTTGCCCATGAACATCTGACAGGCAGTGGCCAACATCTCCTTGTTCTGGCCCTGGATCTTCACCTACAAAACAACAAGATAAGAACATGTTACAAAAAAGAAAAAAGAATTGCATTACTGATACATGTAAATCACTTACACAGTTACATATGTACTGCTCAGTTATTAGCACAAAGGTCTTTAAAATGTCAGTCAGACGTCCTTTTTTTTTTTTCTTTCTTTCTTTTCTTTCGAGTTTAAACTTGTCCAAATCATGCAACAACCATGTACAAATAACTAATGACTTATTTAAATTACATCCCTAGGGGGTGTCCTTTGGGACCATTTTCAAGTGTCATCATCCTTTCCCTTCGCTTATTACCAGAAATAACCTTCTAGCTGAACTCAATATGAATACTATAAGTGTATACTGTGCACAGAACTGATGTTTGTTTTTTGTTTTTGTTTTTTTAACTCAGGCAAATATATTTGCACCAGTTTAATCACAGAAGTTTTTGTTTTTTCTAATTTATCACACACTGAATGTTACAACATCCTAATGTGGTCAGACTCTCATTAAAAGGCCTAAGGCTCACTCTATGTCTGACAATACACAGCAAGAATCAGGCCTTAAATGTCTATTTCTGTAGGGATGTTGATTTTAAAAGACAGTTGCCCCTTTTCCCTGCAATCTAGTAACAGTACAAATCATTTCAATCTATTGTGGAAATATGCACAGCTTGTTAGATCCATTTAGGAAAAACCACTCACACAGTGGACAAAGCATACCTGTGCGATGCCAGTGACAGAGATTGGGACACCGTGACGGGTGTACACTTTGTCACTCTTCACATTAAGAGTCAGGGTGTTGAGTGTGATTCTGAGAAGGGAATAAAAGGAAAAGTCAGACAGAGAACAGGTGACAGAAGAAATGCAAACAGCAGCTATTTTTTGGTTCAAGTTTTATCAAGACTTATCTCTTTTACTCGTTGCCAAAAACATTAAAATGTTGTGTATGTTTGTAATCGGAAAATAGGAGCACCTCTGGATTTGCTGAATACACGGGACGACAAACACTCTTCCTCCAGCAATCATGAGAGGTGGAGAGCGGCCAAAGCCTGGAGGGAAAGACGAGGCAGAAACACATAACATAAACATCACACCACCATTCAGTAACAAACAGCTAGTTACTCATAAAGTAAATGGTTCAAGGACATAGTTGGACTTCCTACCTCATGTTACAACGATGTAAATGAAGCAATTCACATAAAATATCATGAACCCACACACTGCAGCAAGCTGGAAAATTCCTACCTTATTTCAAATTGTAAGTGCAGTAAATGTTGCGCAATTTTATCTCGTGACAAACCACTAATCGACTACAACACTCACATGACACTTGTTTACACAGAACATCGCTCCAACAATCCACTTGTAAGGTAATTATGGCACATTAGTGCAGTGACGTCCAGTAAGGCATCACAGAAACTCTAGTATTTCTTTAAACATGGGGATATTCTTGCTCTAAAAATGTTGTGCTACTGTAAGAAATAATCACGCATCCATTACCAGACACCACCATGGCTTCATTGGGTCCACACGTGTAGAACATGTTGAGTCCTAATGTGAGACAAAAAAAAAAAGACCTTTATAAAGAAGGGATATTTCTACAGTTATCAGTGGATTACATTTGAGTTGTAAAAATGCTTAAACAGATGTATTAGAAAAGATATTCCTGTATTGTAGGGACACTGTCCAGTGGATCCATAGATAATACCTAAGAGCCCCATAATAACCTCTTGTTAAACCCCATAGACTAATACATTAACATACTTTATTACAGTATCAGACATAATCTTATGTGCATCGTTTTATTTTAGGCAGCACCATCACACAGTAAGACTAACAATCCAAATTTTTACTTAGAATACTTTGAAAATCATTTTAATATTCATTTTTTAACAATTTCGAGACTTATTAATAGGCACTCGAGTTTATTTTGGTAGCTACAACTGGCATTTGTCAACGTCTGTCATTTTGGTTTCCGTGTTTTCACAGAGGACCCCTCCGCTCCTCCCTCTTCTAACAACCCTAAAAACTGGAGGTACTACTACGCATTGTCAAATAGTAACTGGAGCATCAAATACACACATGTACTCCAATATTAACGTGAGCCATGCACAGGTGTTATATGTAAATCCAATGACCTCACGCAAGCGAAGCTAACTTGCATGCTAACGCTAGCTAGCTCCGAGGAGGCAGCGGGATGGAGTCTGACTCCATGACATCCTTAAAGACGTAATTTAAAATCCAAAAAATCAAAAAACAACTGTGCAGTATTGTCGATTAAATACACCAAAGCACCCATTCTGTTTTACTCACCTGTATTCGGGCAGCACAAAAAGCAAACCTTTAAAGACTAAATCGAGGTCTATTTCCTGTTGCCCGTCAACTGGAATCGCAAAAATGTCTGTTAGCAGAGGGAGGCGTTCATGACCACGCCCATGCCCGCTGCAACGGTGACGTCAGTCTGCTGCCAACTAGCGGTCGACGGTGGAAGTGCGCCTCCATTGTTGTCATGTTATCAGTTGATTTCTACTGAAGCTCCGAGGACTACCACGTCCTGGATGACTGAGAATCTGCACAGATAATCACGTCTCCGTGCACTAACATAAACATGTAGTTGACTTTGCACATTTCCGGAAATGTCAACAAAAAAACATAATTTTGAACTTTGTGGCAGAGCTGAGGTCACTGAGTGTGTGCACTGACTATTACATTTGATTTCACAAGTTGTTCGAGGTGGTATTAAATGTTTTATGTTTGTACAAGGTCCAATGCATCAGTTTGCTGCTGTCCTAAACCCTGTATTCTGACATGATAATGCCCACTCCCTGTTTGTGCCTTGGATGTCTGATTTCAAAAGTAACATACAGTGTGACGCAGCAAGAACACAGGATTAAAACATGTGATACAATATCTATAAAATGGATTATTAATTTTATGTTTAGGTCACTTGTCTGAGATAAAATGGTAAAGATGTTCATTGCCTCTTTTGTCAATGACTGAAGAACAAAAACAACAGCAACAAATTCTTGATCAACTTTCTTAATTTCATCACTACTATCACCCAGTTGTAGTCCTCTATCTGGTTAATGACTGAATAACGTCTTAGCTTACATATGTTATGAATTTAGATATGATGATTTCCACAATCAGGCTTTACTAATAGATGTGCACTACATGAATCTAAAAAATACTTCAGTTTGGAAAAGCTCATCATCATTATTATCACTGCTGCTCGATATGAGCATGGCGGTCCATATAGGTTTTGTTTAGGAATCTGCCCAGGAAGCTGTCCCAGTTTGAGAGCCTCAGCAGCCTTTCGTCTGGCTTGTCTCTCTCTTCCTCAGCCTTCCTCCTGTTAATTTCAAAGGACCTCACACCGCGACGAGCCGTTCTCCTCCACACTAGTCTGTCTAGTGGAGCTGTATCCCAATTACCAGTCTCGCAGTCCTTGAATATCTTTTTAAGGACATCCTTAAATCTCTTCTTAGCAGCACCAACGCTTCTGGTTCCTTATGAAGGAATATTACCAAACATTATTCATGGGACAGTGTGTGCTAAAGGGTTGTGGCCTCGAGCGCATGATTCGAGGCCACTTGGCTGCTCCAGAACCTTGATTCCATGGTAAGACGGAGGCGCTGGAGAGTTGCAGTTTGGTAGATGGCTGTTGGCTCAAAAGGAGTTTGTTCGCCCTTTGCAGATCTTATTTTTCTTCCACAGGGTGTCTACCGACCCATCTAAGCTGTTTGAAAACAAACTGCTAAGCTGAGCCAGTTTAGTTGCCGGCAACCCGACCATGAACCATGTACCAGGTTACTTATTAACTGGTGGCCTACAGTGTTATGACCAATATGGCTGATCAAGCTGACTGACTGACATGGAAAAGCTAAAGGTAGGAAAAACGACACTGATTTAAACATGTTTTCTTTCAGTATGGCCACCTCTATTAACAAAATTAATTAATTGATATTCTAGGTGCATTTTAAATCTCAAACAAAAAATCTCCCAGCAGAAGACTTCAGTTTATATTCTTTAATCCACTATTAAAACTATTAGTAATCTGACCACTGAATAAACTGTATTTGCTCTTGTTTTAGATCACAGCTACTTACCACTCCAACATCCTAATTCCTTTAGTTTGGTTTTTGTTTCTCCTTCACATATACATACATGCATGCATATGCAAACAAGCTCACTAGAAGGATGTAGACTTTGTAGATTTTTTATGGCAAAATTATACACAAACATGAACAAAAAGCCAAGGTTCCTGGGGAGATGCTGACTGACCCCATCTTGTCCAGTGAATTTTTCTCATTACAAGGAGACAAAATGATGATTAGTCATTCTCTTCTGATCTCCCAAAAACAACTGCGATGCATCTCACTGGGTGCTTGTGCACACCAGCTGGTAAAAGTCTGGCTAATCTCTCCATTTGATTTCCACTCTGTGCTCTGCAGCAGCGTGACCCCGCCCACTTCTGGCTCGGTCGGTCCTTCTCAGCCAATCATCGCTGGCGGCAGCTGTTCCTCGGTGTGGCCACGCCCCTCCACCCAGCCCCAGCTGGCTCTGGAAACGCTCCAACCTTATAAATCCATTGTCCGGCACCATCGTACAAGTCTACGGCTCCTCTCGCTCCCCAAGCAACGCTCTATTACTCGCCGTTGTTAAAAGAGAAACTTTTGCATCCATAATGAGGGAAATTGTGCACATCCAGGCTGGCCAGTGCGGTAACCAGATTGGTGCCAAGGTAAGATAAGAAAACCCTGAGAATTTTTGTGTTCATTTATAAAATGATGCTTTTCATGTCACACCACAGGTTTTTTGTTTTTTTTTAATCCAGAGAATTAAACTTGTAGCTGCTGGTGCATGAAGACAAAAGAGGGCATTAGATCTGCTGCTTGAATGAAAAGTAATTCATTTGGTAGACAATATAGATTTCAATATTTAAACATACCATCTGTCAGAAAATAACAAGAAAAAGTAAAAGTGACCTCTTTGATTGGATCCTGTGCACTGCGGTAACAAGTCAGTGGGTGTGGAGCAGCGGACCGTGCAGGCAGCTAACGGTATAATAGGACTCATGCGTCTCGACGGCTTTTTGTTCACACAACACCGGGCGTGTCTGAGTCCCGGCACTGAGCTGACTTCACCACACTGAACGGGGAGAAGACAGACAGACAGACAGACAGAAAAAAAATCAGTCTATTCTTTACTTGGTAGAGCCCTTTATTCAGTGTACACTCTGGTTTCTTTGTCTGGCACCGGCAGATGTGACTGGTATGTCAGTGACAGACTGGGAGCTGAGGGATGAGAGGCCTGGGGATTTTTTTTTCCTCTCTAAATGACGAATGGATCAATATCCCATAATGATTAGATTTTATTTCTGCACACTGTGGAAGCCAGACTGCAGTTTAGGCTGTTGGGAAAGCAGAAGAACTGCGGGAGGGTGTGGCATTGATAACTGGTCAAGAAAATACAATTCCTCCTTCTCTCTTTTTTTTTTTTTTTGTATAAGAAAGACTACATTTCCTGAGACACCTTTTGTGATTTTAAAATTAATACTCAGTCATTTTCCTTATTTTTTTTGTCAATGTTGTTTAGAATTCTCATTTTAATGCATTTAACTATATATTCCATTTAAAGTGGAGCCAAAGTCTGCATAGTCACAGCACAATATATCATCCACCCAGTCTTGCAGAAATAATTGCAGTCTGCTACTGTATGTTTTATTCCCCTGCTACTCTTTGTATCTCCTTTTGTTTTACAGCTGATCATTTGTTACAGACAGCATATGTTTAAGTAGGACTACCCAAACCCATGCAGGGATCCTGCCCTGGTATTAAGATATACTTTAGAGTTCACACTGACAAAAGCCCCTATTTTACAGTATGTTGATGTGAAAGAAAAAAACAACAGCTTTTCTTTGTAATCAATGTCTGTCCTCCCTATAGCCAAATTAGGAGTAGGGTGGGGGAGGACTGGAAGAAACAGCTGATGCACAGTGGGTGAAGTCATCGGCTTCTCAATTGATGTGCAATTCTCGGCAAAAATCTTTGGAGAATAATTGTGGGAAATAAACATCACACATTGCTATTATCTGCAATTTTCTGATTTTTAATTTTTTTAAAGCTCTTGAATCATAGAATGCCCGCTGTAGGAAATAAGGTATTAATATTGGAAAATTTTTGGTGTTGCAATCAATTCATCTCCCCCTTTTAAGCCCACAGTTCCATTTCTTTCTTTTTGTTTTCTAAATTTGTTGGTAAAATAATTCCTAGTGACCTGAGAGTAAGTATCCCCATTGGTGTCCCTTCCCCTAGGACTCATTGACTCTGATGTCCAGTTGATATGATTGACAGAATTGTTGAAGGGCTACATTGTGGCGAATTAGGTCAGGGTGTGGCATTGCTTTTCTGCTTATTGTCCTCATTCTTTCACTGTGATTATTTGCAGTATTTGCTGATAGCCATCTATAGCATCACTGTCAACTGTCTGTCAGATTCCCAGTCTTTTGGATGTTCTTTATCAACTCTTTAATGCTTCTTTGTTCTGCTTTGCTGCAATCGCCCTCATTTTAAGACCACTCTGTCAATTTAGTTTTGCATGGTTATATTTAAATGTCATGATGCGTAGCTCACAGCTGACTCCCAATCACTTAAGTACTGAGCTGCTATACAGCCCGCTTATCCAGATTACTCTAAATCCTCCTATTGCTGCTGCTGGCAGAAAATCACTGGGTGTATTACAAAGAAATGGCCAAGTTGGAAGATACCATAAAAATACATGCATGCAGATGATTTTCTCCAGTATGGTGCAATCGTAGCTCGCTGGATTTCATGCTAACACACTTTGAAAGATCTAAGTGTGGCATTAAAAGAGTGAACAAGCCATGAATACAGATCCATAGACAATCGGTGTTTTCAGTGTAGTGTGACTCCCTGCAAATTGAGTTTATTTTAGTTTGGCCTGCGGGGAGATCTGTAGCTTCTTTGTGTGCTTTCCTTTCCTTTAATATATGAAAGAACTGCATTCTGCTAAGTCATCAGTCAACGACTATGTGAATAATAACAGCTGCGTCGTAGGAAAAAGGTTTAGATATGGCTTTGCTGAAATGGGAAAAATCCTGTAATTTCCACAGTACAAAAATGCAGCCCACTGCTGTTTTACTCATTAGAAGCCTCCTGTCCCAAAAACTACATGGCTAATGGATAAATGCATACTTTCATTTTCAAGTAACTGTCATGTGATACCGTCCATTTTGTCTGCAGTTCTGGGAAGTGATCAGTGACGAGCACGGCATCGATCCCACAGGGACATACCACGGAGACAGTGACCTGCAGCTGGACAGGATCAGCGTTTACTATAATGAGGCCACAGGTTGGTTCCCGAACAACTCATTTGAACATACATAGGACTATTTTATATGTACATATTTTAAGCTTTACAATTTCACTTAAATTTCAACAATTGATATTTAATTCTTAATTCTTCTCTTGTGCACAGATTTTCTTAGTAGTGTACTGGTTATCCTGTGTAACTTCCAACATAGTTTTTACTGCGTTACTGAGCTGGTCTGTTTTCCTTTTTCTCTGTCTCTTTCTGTCGCTCTCTGTTGTGTCTTGTTCTATTTCTTGCGGAGGAGGTAAATATGTGCCTCGGGCCATTCTGGTCGACTTGGAGCCTGGCACCATGGACTCTGTGAGGTCTGGACCATTTGGGCAGATCTTCAGACCAGACAATTTTGTGTTCGGTGGGTGGAATAAAGACACATTACATGTTACTGAATGAATACAGACAAAAAGTAGAAAAGAAATGCTTAGCTATTGTCATTCTTTCCCTTTCAGGTCAGAGCGGTGCTGGAAATAATTGGGCCAAGGGTCACTACACAGAGGGAGCTGAATTGGTGGACTCAGTCCTGGATGTGGTCCGTAAGGAGTCAGAGAGCTGTGACTGCCTGCAGGGCTTCCAGCTTACCCACTCTCTTGGTGGTGGAACTGGATCTGGTATGGGAACTCTACTCATTAGCAAGATCCGTGAGGAGTACCCTGACCGTATCATGAACACCTTCAGTGTGGTGCCTTCCCCCAAGGTAACATAGTTATGTGACAGCGCACTGGTGTTTTTATTGTTAACTTTAGTTTAATTTACCTTTTATTCCTCCTTTACGATCATGAGACTAAATAAAGTTTGTGTATGTTTGCATCCTCAGGTGTCAGACACAGTAGTTGAGCCCTACAATGCCACCCTGTCAGTCCACCAGCTTGTAGAGAACACAGATGAAACCTACTGCATTGACAATGAGGCTCTGTACGACATCTGCTTCCGCACTCTGAAACTGACCACACCCACCTACGGAGATCTTAACCACCTGGTGTCTGCCACTATGAGCGGAGTCACCACCTGTCTGCGCTTCCCCGGTCAGCTTAATGCTGATCTTCGCAAACTGGCTGTAAACATGGTGCCTTTCCCCCGTTTGCACTTCTTCATGCCTGGTTTCGCTCCCCTGACCAGCAGGGGCAGCCAGCAGTACCGTGCCCTCACAGTTCCTGAGCTCACTCAGCAGGTATTCGATGCCAAGAACATGATGGCTGCATGCGACCCACGCCACGGCCGCTATCTGACAGTCGCTGCTGTGTTCCGTGGCCGCATGTCAATGAAGGAGGTCGACGAGCAGATGCTCAACGTGCAGAACAAGAACAGCAGTTACTTTGTTGAATGGATCCCCAACAATGTGAAGACCGCCGTCTGTGATATTCCACCCCGTGGCCTCAAGATGGCCGTCACTTTCATTGGCAACAGCACAGCCATCCAGGAGCTGTTTAAGCGCATCTCAGAGCAGTTCACAGCCATGTTCCGTCGTAAGGCCTTCTTGCATTGGTACACAGGCGAAGGTATGGATGAGATGGAGTTCACTGAAGCAGAGAGCAACATGAACGACCTGGTGTCTGAGTACCAGCAGTACCAGGATGCCACTGCTGAGGAGGAGGGTGAATTCGAGGAGGAGGCTGAAGACGATGCATAAAGTTGAAAGACATCAAGGTCAAGACATCATTGCCAAAAGAAATACAAATCAAAAAGGAACGACAACAAGTAACTAAGGAACCAACATAGTGTCAAGAGCATTGCTAGAATCAAACTTTAGCGTACGTTAGATATCCCTTGTCATTCGTTGCAAATAAAGTTGGCAATTGAAAACTGTTATCCTTTCATTCATGCTTGCATATAAATGAGTCATTTGTCTGATAACACATCAACTACGATTCAGTCATTCAATTTCAATCACTCAGATTTTCTCATTAATTGTAAAAGAATAAAAATCATGGGTGAATGTTAGTTGAGAGCTTACTGATGCATTCATTCACAGCTTGAAGGTCCTAATTGCATCTCGGCCTGGGGTCTTCCTGTGTGGAGTTTGCATGAGTTTGCTTCCTCCCACAGTCCAAAATCATCCATCCATTATCTATACACTGCTTAATCCTCACTAGGGTCACGGGGGGGCGGGGCTGGTGCCTATCCCAGCCGACTTAGGGCGAAGGCAGGGGACACCCTGGACAGGTAGTCCAAAAACATCCATCCATTATCCATCCATTATCTATACACTGCTTAATCCTCACTAGGGTCGCAGGGGGGCTGGAGCCTATCCCAGCCGACTTAGAGCGAAGGCAGGGGACACCCTGGACAGGTAGTCCAAAAACATGTTGAGGTTAATTGATGATTCTAAAACTTATCTGTAGGTGTGAATGTGAGTGTGCTTGGCTGTCTGTCTATTTGTGTGTAGCCCTGTGATAGACTGGCCACCTGTCCAAGGTGTATCCTGCCTTCGCCCTGAGCCAACTGGGATAGACTCCAGCCCCCCCGCAGCATAAAGCGGTGTATAAATAATAGATGGATGGATGATACATTCATGTAAAATTTTCTGCAGCTATGAAAAAGCATCAATTGTCAGTTCCATGAGCATCCATTTATAATATAGTCTAGTATACGGTTAAGTGCACATAACTAAATGCAACATAATAGTCAGACCAGTTTTAGTTTTATTTTTTTTTTCTGCACCAAACCACATTCTCAAAACTATCCCAGTGTAGGCAGTCAGTCCTGTAGGAACAGAGGTTCATTGCACCCTAACAACAACTTAAAAACGCAGCAAAACATGTATTTAAAACAACAATATCATTTGCTTATCATCATGCTTCAAAAAAAAATCCAAACCCATACATTTCACGTTCCAGGATTGCGTTAAAGTTCCTGTGGAGTGTTACATCACATAAAAATTTGGCATTTCATCATGCTTTTTGCTCTGATGACACTGTTTATTGTAAGTACTTTTACTATATTTGTTCAAAGTCCTTTGAGAGTTTTTATACAATATGAAACACATGTAAATTAGCTGCTGGAATCTAGTTCACCCACACAAGTGTGTTAATTTAGAGATATGAATCAGAAAACTAAAGTGTGTGAACTATTAGGACAAGACCTCAATAAAATAGCACCCACCTTTTCATATATGTTATGCTGCATAAATTTCCTTAAACACTGGCCTAGGGCGGCTGTCTATTTGACCTAACCCAGTAATCAAGCCTTGTGTCAAGGATAGTATTTTTCTCATGCAAAGAGAAAATCAAACAGTTGCAATTGAACTGTGCTAAAGACTAGAATGCCTTAAAACTACTTCCTGGCAGCAAACTAGGCTTGAAGCTATTGATATATAAAAAAAAAAAAAAAACGGTCCTTCACTATTTGATGCTACACTTAAGCGTGAAAGAGACTCAATCAACGTCCACTGGTTTCCCTCAGGCAGCCATGTCTACGTGAATGTAGGGCGCCAAATTATATCGTTTTGTCCTATCAGAGGCGTTTTAAGAGAGTTCTGATTAGCCAATGGCAGCAGAGTCCGGTGTGATTGATGGGTGTTTCAGCCAATCGCCTGCATCAAACACGCCTCTTTTGGGCGTAATTAGCTCCTTCCAGGATATGCGAGTACTTTTTTGTTTATCTCCACTTGGACAAGTTGAGGCGTGTGACGGTGGGTAGATTGTAGCTAATAATGTTTGGAGTGCATGCCTATTTTACAATAATTATGAATTTTACAATAGTTATGTCGCGGTATTAAATTGCTATACTTGACGTTTGAATTTCCCACAACTGGCCGTTAACATTTTGGTTTTTTATGTCGGTCGGAAGTGGGATGGCTGCACTGTGGTTTTGAAAGAGATATCCATACACGTTTACTTAAAGTTGTGCTCAGCGTTGCTTAAAGCTCTTCAGACCAATGCACCAAATCGGAGATTAGCAAGAATGCTACGGAAAAGTGTTATTACCGGTCAGTGATAAACGTTAAAGTTAACGGCAGGCTTGACATCATATATTAGCCACTTAGGCTAACGTTAGCTGCATGGGGCTGCTCACTAATACTTGGGCATATGTGGCTTTGTGGGTTTAATTAGACAGTTACATTACAGTCTAAAGAGCAGTTTATCTGTGTATAAGTATAGCAGTAACTATGTCTTGGTGTCTGGTAGAAATGGAAGCCACGCAGATGATCTGTGACTCAATGTTGGAGTCAGATGAGGAAGAAAATGAAGAGAGCAATGAAAATGAGAGGGGACGACCAGTGGCCAAACTGTGCATCTTAAAAAATGCACATATCTCCGAGAGAGGTGATTGTCAATTTAAGCACAGTCTGCATACATGAACGTCCTTGGCTATGTGTTTCTCATAATGCATATTCTCTGTCCCCCAGAATTGCCCCTCTTTTTGGGAGATAATGTGCTGGGCCGTGACCCCAACACCTGCACCCTGCCCTTGTCGGCGGCCTCAGTGTCCAAGCAGCATGCAACCATCTGCATCTCAGTCTACAAGAGCAGAGGTTGTGACAAGGAAGCTGAGATGGAGGCTTTGCTTTGGGACCTAGGGAGTATGAATGGGACCCGTAAGGGCCGCTTAAAGCTGACTCCTAATGTGCGCTATGCCCTCAGTGAAGGTGACAGGTTGGTGTTGGCGGACATCCCTTGTCAGTATGTCATCAGTGGTGTGGACTCAGTAGTCTCTTCTCAAGAGGACACGAGGACTCCAGTGAGCAGAAATCCAGGTGTGAAGGCCAGGTTGCCAGATGATTCGACAGTAAGCGAAGGTGACACAAGCACTGGCAGCAAAAAATGTGTAAATGGAGATACAAAACCCAGGGTTTCGCCGAAGAAGACTCTTGTCAGCACGAGTTGCCTGTCCTTTGAGCAAACTCCAACACAGCCACAGAAGACCTTGGTCCCAGAATCTGACTCGGACTCAGATGGCGAAACAGTGGGAGGAGGAGAAAGAAGACGAGTGGCTCTTGGTATGTAAATTGAGTAAACAGTCATAAGAGATGATGCTTCATTTTTTTGTATCTCAGCTCATCTTTATTATCTTTTACAGTGTCCGATTCAGACTCCCAAAAATCCAGTCCCACTTGTTCTACATTCCTGAGTCCCACAAATAAAGTCGTCCCTGAAAGGTATATATGTAACATTATGTATATAGTACTGGCATAACCAGTCCCAATATATAAGTGTGTCACATTTTTCCAATTTTCCCCTGATTGTAATACTCATCACCTTGTTTTCCACTGCTTTACAGTGAAGATGAAAGTCCCATCACACTGTCATCCTCCACTAAAAATAGACCATGCAAACATGTCAACCTCAGCACTGAGGAGACAGAAGTAGATGTGGGGCGACAGCAGCTGAAGAAAAAAAAGTCACTTGAAATTGCGGATGACAGTGAATCGGAGGAAGAAGGAGCAGCACAAGGAGGGACAAAGTCTAAGGAAAGTGGACAACATGTGACAGTGAAACACAAAAGCAAAGGTTATGCAGGGGAAGATGGATTGCCTGTGTCAACGCCAGCAGTCTCCACAGATGACGGTCCTGCATTTAACATTGATAGTGACACTGATATGGAGGAAGAGGAGGAAGGGCTTGTGTCTGCAGGGCCTTTAACTTTGAATACAAACCAACACGTTGATCAGCCACCAAATACAGTTCAGTTTCACATGGACAGTGATACAGATATTGAAGAGGATGAGGATGTCCAAGTTAAAGCTCCCAAAACCCTGCCCTCCTCTAATGAGACCACCAAACCTTCTCGCTGTAGTTTAGTCATTCAGCCAGAGGACATCGGCATAGACAGTAACACTGACGTGGATGAGGATGATGATGTTTTGGCAGATGCTGCCATGAAAGCAAAACCAACATCATTTAAGTCTGCTCGGACAGCTGACTCTGCTTCTTCAATGCAGCTGCGAGATTTCCACCTAGACAGCGGCACAGATGTTGATGATGAGGAGGAAGAAGAAGATAAATCTGCAGAAAGACATGAAAACTCAAAAACAGACGGAACGCTCAGCAAATTAGATGTGAAAGTCATAGGGCCTGAATCTGCCCCTGCTGCTCCCACAGATGCTGAAACTGTCCCTGCCTCTACCATCAGAGAACCCACAGCAGTTGTTGCCGTCAGAGAATCGTGCACCATTGCAAATGCAGGGGCTGTTTTGGATACTCTGTCTGACAGTGAGACAGATATGGAGGATAATTCTCCTGTGGGTATACCTGCTGCTGTCACAACCTGTCCAGTCTTTCCTTGTAAAACGTCAGAGGCTCGTCACTCAGATTCAGATGCAGACACAGATGTGGATGAATCTAGCATGCCCCCTGCTGGGAACAGGGCCAATCCTGCTCACCTTAGAGTGGGCGGTGATAAAGATGAAGTGGAGGATAAGGAGGCTGACATTGAAGAGGCTGGGGAGGACCGGATTCCTCACCTGGACAGAGAAAATACACCTGGGTTTCTGGTTCCCATTCTACAGAACTGCTCTACTCCTGTACAGCTGTCAGGTAATCAAGTCACTCTGCGTTCAAATTAGAACTAAGACTGCAAGTCAGTGATGTGTTCACATTGGTTGTTTTATGTGACCCACAGTCCAAACAAACCCAAAAGATACTAACATATGTGACACAGAAAAGCATTTAATCCTCAAACTGAACAAGCAAGAACTTAGACACCTATTGGCATTTTTGCTTAAAAAAATTAAACCGTTAATCGATCATTTTAGTTACAGATGGATTTTTCTGTTAATTGACTAATTCATTCATGTATTAACTGGCTGATCCTTGCAGCTCTCAAAGAAATGACACATTCATTTATAAGTCACAATTATTTATTGTAGTGGTATTTAATATTTTGTTATCTTAAGTTTATGCATTTTTGTGAATACTTTGTTCATTTATGTCAATACAACTGTTAATTGCACAAACGTACTGAACAAAAACTGTGAAGAAGTGAATGATACAAATATAAGATTTGGTCATACACCTCGCAGACTTACATGTTAAGAGCTTAGGTGTGACGTAAAACCATTTCATGCATTTTAATGACGGAACAGGCTTGAGATAAAAGCTAGTTAAATTATCTGGTTTCAAAAGCGGAGGGGAAAGATAAGGAGCTAAGGCTTTTGGAAGTCCTTCAAGTCCATTTAGATGTGTGCAAGTTGCTTTTAACGCATTATACAATGTCTGTTTATGTAATAGTGGTAATGTTGGAGAGAAGTATTTCTTTTACTTTGCATTTACTGCATGTTGTCGTCTTTGTCTCCCAGCTGCAGTCGCGCCTGCTGTATCACCTGTAGGATTGTCTTCCTCTTCCGACACCCAGGAGGATGCAGACTTTGCTGAGGCTGAGACGCAGCCCTTTGTTCTTCATTGCCACAGCAGTGTGGACAAGCCTCAAGCCTCCTTTGAACTTGAGGCTTCTGGTGACAAAGAAGAAGAGGAGTCCAGCAGCAGGAGGGAATCTTTACAGCTGAGATTGTCTGACAGCAGTCACCTGCAGTGTCAGAACCAAGCTCTAGCCACAGAGTGCACTCAAGCTTTTGTCTCTGTGGAAGGGAATGTGATTTTGGAAGATGCCCAGTCGTCAGACGGACTCTCTGCAGAGAATGACTCAAACTTGGAGGCTACGCAGGCCTACGCAGAAAATGAGGATTCTGCCAGATGTTCAGTTGCATTTAAAAAAGAAGAACGTCATGTCGATTTTGCCCTAGAAGCAACACAGGCATATATTTCAGCACCCTACAGTGATTCAGATGACGACACAAACCAAGACGAAGGACAGAACACTGCTGATGCTGAGACTCAACCCATCGCATCTACGCTTGCCTTTGCTGAAACCCAACCGATGCCTTCCTTTGTCGAAGAGACGAGTTCGGCAACAGACAATTCTGTGTGCTCTGTACAGCAAGTTCCCTCCAAAACACAGATTGAAACAGAAGAGAGGGAAGAATATAAGGAAGATGCTCACCCTCAGCAGAGGCACATCAGTGAAGCTCAGTGTATGGCCGCAACTCAACCGATCTGTGCAAGCAGCAATGAAGAAAGTGATGAAGATTCATTTCCAGGTCTACAAAAAAGAAAAGCAAAGCCGCTGCAGCTCGAAGAGGAACAAACACAAAGCCTCACTCATTCTGGTGCTGATCAAACTCAGGCCATGGCTACAAGTGAAGATGGTGAAAGTGACGATACGGACTGGATGCCAGGCCCACGAAAACACAAAACGAAGCAACTTGAAGAGACACAGTCTCTCACAAATTCTGAAGTCTCCACTGTTGAATCCCAGTCTTTACGTACATGTGCTGGTGAGCAAAGTGATGAAGAGAGCGTGATTCCTTGCCGACGAAAAAGGAAAGCAAACTCATTGCAACTTGAAGATGAGCAAACGCAGCCCCTCACTAGTTCTGATGTCTCTGCTGTTGAAACTCAGCCAATTGTGACAAGTGAAGACAAGGACAGTGATGATGATGACTCAGTTCCAGGTCCACCAAAAAGAAAAGTAAATCAGCTTCATGTTGAAGAAGAGAAGACACAACAGCTCCTGAATTCTGAACCCTCTGCTGCTGAAAACCACCCCACAGCTACACGTGAAGATGATGATACAGACTCGATGCTGGGCCCACGGAAACGGAAAGCAAAGCATCTTGAAGATAAGACACAGCCCCTCACCAGTTCTGAAGTCTCTGCTGATGACGACTCTACTCCATGTCGGCCGAAAAGAAAAGCTAAGTTGCAATTTGAGGAAGAGAAGACCTCTACTGTTGAAACTCAGCCTTTAAAGACAAAAACTGGCCGAACGCCTCGGAAAGGAAAAGAGACAGAATGTAAAACAGAAACCACTCGAGCCAGTGTTAGAAATGTAAGAAAATCAACTGCAAAATCAAGAGAAGGGGACGAGCAGGCAGAGTGTTCTGTACCACCAAGGAGACAGACAAGAGGTGAGAATAAAACCTTGCAAAGTACAGAAGAGATCAGTGAAAAATCCAGGTCTGATGATGATGATAACAATGAGGAGGCAGTAAAGCAGGCTAAGCAAACCCGAGGAAAGAAAAAAGTGAGTAAACAGAAAGATGACGATGAGCAGAAAGAAATGCTTGAAATAGAAAGAAACAAACATGCTGTAAATAAAAGTCTAATAAACGAACAAAAAGAAGGGAAACAACAAGAGAGAGATAAACTTGAGAATGAAGGGAAGGAGACTGAAAGAATGGAAAATAAATGCCAAGCAAGGCTGGAAAGTGGAGCAATGGAGAGGGAAGAAACTGATAACTTGGATAAAGAAAAAGAAAAACAATCAAAAGAAAAAGAACTACAAGAAAACAAGGAGGAAGTGGACAAGCCCAAAGCGCCTACAAGAGGTCGAAGAGCTACCAGAGCTAGGGCTTCCCAGCATGCAACACAGCAGGAACAAGAATCAACCAATGATGATTTCCCATCAAGGAACACCAGATCTCGCTCAAACTCCTCCAACTCAGTCAGCTCGGAGAGGTCAGCCTCAAGTTCCAACACCCAGGAGGGCAAAGGACGGGGCAGAGGGAGAGGAGCCAGGACGAGCAGTACGTCACCTCAGGCAGCCGCTGTCAGAACTAACCATCGAAGAACAACGGCGGCTGCAGTGTCGACAGAACAGGAGGTTTTCGACTGCAGCATGACGCCTGTAAGCAGAGGAAGAACAGGTAGGCTACAGGGAAGAGGGAGGAGAACAGAACCTGCCCCAGACTCCATCCCTGCTGCTGTTGGTCAGAGCGATCAGGATTCATCTCCTAAACCGACAGCCAGAGGCAAGAAGAGCAGGAAACCAGAGGGATCCTCCAGCAGTGTTCTCCATGAAAATGAGAAAGAGAAGGCAGACTCTCAGCAGACTAGGACCACAAGAGGGCGACAGCAAACCAGTGCAAGTGGTTCTGAACATGCAGCTGCAGATGAGACAACTCAAGAGGAAGGATGTGTCAGTGAGGAATCACTTTTGCCTAAAAGGAATGTCAGGGGCAGGAGTCAAAAGGCAACAAGGAGTGAAGCTGTGGAGGGATCAGTCGCTTCTACAGTCAATAATGAGGATGAGGCTAAAGACAAAAGAAAAGGAAGGAAAACTGAATTGAAGGCAAATATAGAAGCAGATTGCAGCAGCAGCACTAACGTTTCCAAAGCAAAGGATAAAACCGAAAAAACAGAAGCAGCGGACGAAGATGGGGAGGATAAAACAAAAGATGAGATTCCTGCTGCTATCCAAGTGAAGAGAGCGGGTAGGGCACCCAGCGCTCAAGCAAAGAAGAATGCAAAAGATTTACCTCCTGAAGTGAAGGAGAAAGAGAGTGAGAAAATAAAAGTGGACACTGTTGAGAAGAGACCCAGAGGTTCGCCTTCAGCATCCCGCAAAGAAAGAAAGAAGAATAAAGGGGTGGAAGAAAGTGAAACATCCGTCACTTCCATGAACCAGAGTTCAAATGAGGAAGCAACAGAGGTGTGACTGAATTACTTCTTCCTTAAATACGCATCGTAAACATTATTGTCTTAGAAGTTGTAGTTTTGATTGAAACAAAAAATATATTAAGGCTGAAATTTAAATCACAGAAAGTGGAGTACTGAGTCGTATATAATTAATGTATGGAAGTTTGTGTTCTCATAACGTACAGCCTTTACCTCGGCCCAAGGCCTCAGTGCATTTCTCTCTGAGTCAGCCTTTCCAGTCACCTTAATGTATTACCGTCGACATCTCGGTCTGACTCTGTTTCCTCCACTCTTCCACAACAAGAGCAGTCTAACGTGCTCTGCCTCACCAATAACTCACTAATGAATTAAGTGGTTCCGTGATCACCCAGTCACTTCCTACTCTGTCTGTGGTCCGTCTGTACTCCTGATCCCATCATTTTCTTTGTGTATTTAATCCTTTGCCTTTGTTTGTCTTCATTCTCTCAATGGTTTACTCATTATTAATTCCTCCTTCTTATCTATTTATCAGCCCCAGACGCCAGTGGACCGTGTGTCTCGGAAGCGACTAACTTCTCCAGAATCCGTTCTCGTGGCAAAGACTCCTCGCTGCTCCTCTGCTTCCCCGACACCTGGTGGTCGACCACGAGTTTCAAGCCTGGCCTACAAGGTCTGTGTTTCTAAACCTGTGGGCAGTTTGTCAAAAAAGTACGTGCAAGAGGACTGCCTGGTCAAATCTTTCTGTTAGGTATGGAGATGGAGCCAGGCTTGATAAGTCCAGCTTAGATATTAGAAGCAGGGGAAACAACTTGGATCTCTCTAAAATTCAGAAACCCTCCTACCTTTAAAGCTGACTAATTAAAACACTTTTGTTCTTTGTTGAATCCTCACAGAAACAATTAAAATGACAAATTGTGGTTTTGTAAGGAGCTGTCTCTGCAGCATCATGTTGAGGATGAGCCTTTTGGAGTCTGCACTTTGACTAATGAGGTGTTTTTACATGTCTTTGTGCGGACTGGTGAGCTATAGAGCTGCTAATTGGTCTGTTTCTGAACGATGGATAGAGCCAGGTTGGTTACTTCCCCGTGTTTCAACCGTTGCTAAATGTTAAAGTTAATAAATTGCCTGGGCACTCGAGATCAATACACAGTGGACAGATATGACGAGTATTTATCGACTTAAGTAAGTCTTATGAAGAAACCAGATTTCTCAAAGCATGCATTTCATGTTTAGAGTTAGAGCTGTGTAATCTATCCATGCAAAATCAAAGTTATTTCAAATGTTTGTACAGGTGAGAGTAGTTATTTTAAGTTCAGGTGGCACCAAATCACTGCTTCCTTTATAAGTTAGTTTAATAATCATTCAGTTGGAGTCAGCTACAAAGAAATGATCCCAAAATGTGTGAAGCAATGCATGACAGGGCTGCAGTACTAACACATGAATTCCATACATTTATTTTCCACTATCTCTTGCCAGTGGATGTCCAGTTACACTGTTGTGATCTAACTTGGTGTCATTTTTTTCTTAGGTGCTGTTCACAGGGGTGGTGGACGAAGCAGGAGAGAGAGTGTTGGCTCGTTTAGGAGGCAGCATGGCTAAAGGTGTAGCCGACATGAACTGTCTGGTGACCGATAAAGTGCGCAGGACTGTCAAATTCCTATGTGCTGTGGCTAAAGGCGTCCCGATCGTCACCACAGAGTGGCTGGAAAAGGTTAGTTTCTGTAGCAGGAGTTGCATATCTCGGCCCACACAAGTTCTCGCTTTGAATTTATGCAAAAGTAAACACAAGTGGTACAAACACATACAGAGACACAATCAAATAGACTCTCCGCTCATCTCTTGTCTTGTCTGTGTCTCAGAGTGGTAAAGCCGGAAGCTTCCTGTCTCCTAATGCTTTTGTTGTGAAGGATCCAGAGCAAGAAAAGAAGTTCAGTTTCTGCCTGCAGGAGTCTCTGAGGATTGCTAGCAGTCAGCCTCTCTTACAGGTATTCACTTGTGCTATTTATGTATGTGCTTATATTTTTCTGTGAGAGGTTGACAGTGTCAGGATGATATGTCCCATGGTGGATGGCACAGGGGTGGTTTACAATACTGATGGTGAGAAAAAGCGAATCATGGTAGGAATGGAGTAAAACTTGAATCAGCATTACTTTTAGCTCAGCCCCTTAAATCTTTAATAGAGCAAAGGGTTGATTGTCGTTACACTGTGGCTTATGGGAAGTCATTTAACATTTGCTGGTTATGTTTTATGCATTATCTTTCTGAGGCTGCACAGTTTCATTAACCCTGAGAAGGAATGTTTTAATGCAACAAATAATTCAAACAGCTAGAATGAGAGTATACACATGATGCCAAAGTCCATTGGCCTTTTTATACAGAGAAATCATATGTGTGTTTACACGTTTTCTGCTGTTTTTTCCTCATTCTTTCTCGTAGGGATATGACATCCATGTCACAAAGTCGGTGAAGCCAGAGCCAGCTCAGATGAAAGACATCATTTCCTCAAGTGGAGCTAATTTCCTACCAAAGATGCCCACCACTAACAAGGTGCCAACTGAGCTTAGAGCCGTTCTCACATAAAGTACACTGATTGAGTTACTCTGTCTTCATGTTATCATTCCAGTGTTGTTTTATATTTTTATGTTTTATTTTCTGTCACCGTTCTCTCTCCCAGCCTCAGACTGTGGTGATTTCCTGCGAGGAGGACCGGTCGCTGTGTCGTCCGGCTGTATCCGCATCTCTCCCCGTGGTCTCTGCTGAGTTTATCCTCACGGGGATCCTACAGCAGAAACTTGATTTTCAGAACCATATGCTCTCTCCTCCTGCAGCGAACCTGCAGCCCTCTGCAGGGGGCAAAGGAAGGGGCAGGAGGAAGACTTAGCACTGCTGTGGTGTGCTATTGAAGACCTGCACCACTGCGCGTGTCACCAAATTGGCCTTAGTGGGCTCTATCCATCATTTGTAGACTCCCTTTTAACTTTTAGATTGGTGGGAACATTTATGAGTCAGCTGCTCGTCTAGATTTAAGAATGTATTTGTCATATGCAGCAAAAGCTTGTTGCTCTCTTGAATGTAAACACATTGCGTATGTACACAGTTAGTACCAGAAGTATGTGTGTTATTTTACTGACAGCTGGCAAATGTTTCCAAATTTATTTTACACTTTACGAAAGAATGATGTGACAAACAAAATACGGGGAGCTAACCAGACAGACAAGTTTTGGATGGATGGTGAAATCTTTCCATAATCCTGTTAAGTTCTTTCAGTCTCATCTTCTTATCTACATGTGAAAAAATGCAATGTTGCAAAGCTATTAAAGGTAGAAAATACTGTTGCTGCTATGCAGGGGGAGAAAAACCTGCTCCCCATTTCCACAATGACACCAACAAGCAGCGTATAAACTACTGCTGCTGCTGAACTGCTGCTCGTCTCTACGTCTACCAGCCAGTTTGGCAGGTGACTACCATGAACAGAGAGCCATAGAAATCATGTCTGGACGGGAGAGTGGTGGAGCTGATGGGGTTTGTTTTGAAATCCCTCAGCTGCGTTGGTCAGTCTATGAAAAAAAAAAAAAAAAAAAAGTCTATGAAAAAAAAAAAAAAAAGCTTGTTTACTGTCTCAATAAGTGCATGGTAGCTTTTATACTGAGATAAACATGAACCTCGCCATGTTTGTTGTGTCCATCGTCTCCATTAACCACCTACTCCATTAAGACTTCATCCAATCCTATTGCCTTCAGGGAAAGTGAAACACAATTATAGGTAACTGACTGCTGATGCTGCTTCTCCATCAATATCTCATGGCGTTTGTCCTCGCCGTCCATTTATGAACCGTCCGGCCACTTATTGCATATACATGTTTCAGAAGTCACATTTCTGTTATGACCCAGTGTAAACTTCATCCAAGCTGTCCCTGGTGTTTTAACGATGGATTCATTAGCTTGTAACTTTTACAACTGTTAACCAGCTAATGACTTATAACATTTACTAATGGAAACAATAAATCATGTCTCTTACTTGTAACTAAGTGAGTTTGGTAACAGTATGTTTTATGGGGATTTTCTTTTCTTCCAACATCCAATATGACATTTTAGTTTTGACCCAAACGTGGAAAAATATGAAGCCCAGAATGATCAACGTGGCTTATTCCAGCCAAAACCTGTGACCTTGAGTATAGTTTTGCTTTTTAGATTCTAATGAACAGACAGCACATCTGAATTATTTTTGGCACAAGAAAACTATGATTTCAGTTTGGTGCCCCCAGTGGTTACAGTGACTTTTCATTTTGTTGGCTACAGATCCTTCCTTTGATCACTTTGCTGACTGTTTTTTATACCGTGTGGGGGGGAAGTGATCTGACATGAAGCAATGCACCAAAGCATCCCTGCAGTTTAAACACACCTATCCTCCAGTGATCTACTTTACATGATGCCAACAAGGCTTCATTTGTTTGTGCTGCATCAGCATCCTCCAGATCTCCAGACTAAAAAAAAAATAATGTGGTTAAATGAATCCTCCTCGGTGCCAGATGTGCCGGTTTTGAGGAGGTGGTCGCAGAGTTGGACGTGGATTGACTCCGAGAAGCCAACAGAGCCCGACATATTCTGAATACCTCCCCAAATGTTGAGCCCGAGCCGTGAAGTGCAGCTCTGGAGGGGGGCGAGGTTGAGGAGGGGAGGGAGCCGACGGAGGAGGAGGAAGAAACGGGCAGCAACGATCGCAACACATTCTCACTCTGGAAGCGTCTCAGCATCTCCTCCGTGACCGCACCGAGGCTGCAGCGCTCAGCTGAAGGTAGGTGAGACACTCGGACGGTTTTTTCTTCTTGTTGCTTTTGCTGTAACATGTGCGGATGATTTTTATTTTTATTTTCTGATTCTGACTGGTGCGTGACGGGTTAAATTCTGCAGTTTTTTGGTGGATACGCTGATCGGCTATCCGGAGGTGACTGATAAGAACTGAGATGCGGCGTTTAGGTTCCAGCAATTTTTATTTTTTATTTTTTTTACAGTGAGAAATAAGGTTCATCCTGTTTAACTGACTATATGTCCTGGTATGCTCCATCACCTCAGCTGATGTTTTAGGGTTATTACATTTATTCCCTAAGCCTCCTTGATGGCAAATCTTTAAAAAAAAAAAAAAAAAATCAAGAAATGTATATTCAATCCAACTCAACACAAACATTATTATTATGATTATAACCCTGCTACTATTCCCCCTGCATCACTAGTGTCACATCCATTCCATTCTTTACCCTGCATGCTGTGTTACCATTTTAAAGGTTAATAACATCTGAGAGGATGCTCTGGCCTAAAGGCTTCTGGCTGCGCTGTCTCCACCTGCAGTGTCCATCTCAGAGGCTGTGGCCAGAGCTGCATGAAGGCCCTGAATAACACAGGGCAGCTGTGATTACCATCAGCTAATGCAATCATATCTGCATAATATATCTTAATTTTTTTCCCCTCCTCTCACTAATTTCCCCATTTCCTCTTTTATCACCTCTTACACTGTGTTTGTCAATACTGCACTTAGCTCTACCAACCTCTTCCACCCCCTCCTCCTCCCTCCATCACGTCCACTGATTTTAATGCATCTGGCAGGTGCAAGCAATATGGTGGAAACCTGTCCAATCCTTCAGTTCACCGCAGTCATCGTGGTAAGAAAATAGGTTGTCAGCCGCCACAGGCTTCCTCTGAAAGACAAACGTCAGAAAATCACATTTGGTGTTTGTTTTCGTTCTGCCGTGCTGATCTGAAACACGAGAAGAGTCACAGCTCCAGAGTTTTGAATTCCTCCTCATTGTGTGTAGTGGAGTTGCATCCTTCTGTGTAAATGTGTCACTTGTAGCATGACTCCTCGTCATCAAGAGAGGGGCCCTTGACCCCGGGTTCCCCGCATCACTTATGCAAAGCAAAGCATTAAGGTGAAAATGAAAGAGAAATGATAAAGGGTAAGGATACAGAGTTTGCTTTGTTGGTTTCTCGACATCTGCGGTCACTGAAGGCATTTCCGCCTCTTTAAAGACCGTGGACAAAGACCCGTCTGTCTCGCCAATAAGTAGGGAGTTTGGAGTTTGAAGGAACACAGGCGCAGGCTTTGATTTCAAAGTAGGATGCACTGGCTTGGATTATATAAGACAGGGAGGAGGAGAGCATGAAAGACATGCGATAAAAAAGAAAGATCCAGAGAGAAATGAAGAGAAAGTAGGGGGAATGAGACAGATGCCCCCAAGATGAAGTGAGGCAGACCTTGCAGTGACTTTGGCTCCAAATGCTCCAAATACTCACAAAGACAAAGCAGAATATTTAGGATTTTTTGGGGGGGGATTCACACATTCTGCATAGAAACACCAGATTGTCCGTGGTGACTCTGTGAGGCCAACTGCTGTGACAAACAGATGGAAACGGTTCCCTTCTCTTTTATTTTCAGCCAACCAATCCTACGCTTGTTGTATTAATTAAACACAGAATTCTACAAGGGTCTGTTTTTTTTTGTTTTGTTTTTCCAGACATTGTGATGGAGGCTGTAGCAATAAAATGATAGTGACTGGATACTGAGGATTTGTTTGCCAAAAGACAGTGTTCTACGTGGCACATCTTTGTTCAATTATTTGTCTCTTGCGCAATAAATTCGTTGAGCTTCTTAGGCTTGAAGTTTTGAGTGAGAATGTGGCAGTCACAGTGCAGAAGGTTGTGTGAAACAACAATTCTGCTTGTCAGGAAATGACACTGTGGAATGTTGGTTTATTCTTGTAATATAATAAGAAAAATGGAAAGTCTTTTTACTGTTTTATTTTAATATCATGTATAAAAAAAGTGATGCCAGACATGCAGTAAGTGTGAACATTGCTTAATGCTTCATCATTTCCAACAGGTAGTGAAGGTCTTCTGGCACCTCCTGTGTTACAAAGAGACACTTTAATCTTTACTGCATGTTTATTAGCTGCTGCAAAGTGACTGTGAGCACTGCAGGTGTTCCCTCCCAGTCCCCTCCTGGGCTTACTACATGAAAACTGCAGCAAAAACCTCTTCTTTTACAAGCTCTTGATGTGTTGCCTCAGATGCGTCAGTATAGCAGAAGGCAGTTCGCGTCATCACAATCATTTCTTCTCTTGTGGGTTCCTGTGGTACTTTCCCTGCTGGCTTGTTGTTCTGGACGTTTACTCGTGGAACCCTCGCCTAGTCAAATCAGCGTGATTTAAACTATCTCGAGGTTCATGAATTGTTTTGGATTCCGGCATATAATCAATGGACAGTCAATGACAGCGATCCAAAGCCTGTTGAACCTCTTAAACCTCCTTAAAGGGAAGCGTCTAAAACACAATTGTCTGTTGGTAAGAGCTTTAAACAACACTACCGTTGACAGATAAAACCTTCTTAGGACCTTGACTTCACACTGCTGTCAGGTAAGCCATTAAGTCCTAATGGCTTTCTCGACAAAAAGTCACACCACGGGCCGATTTTATGTCTGAAGTCCAATAATAGTCTCCAGACAGATAAATTGAATTTACAGTGACTGCAAGATTCTCTGCAGATGGGCTCTTCAGGGAGAATTTTTAAGTATAATTAGAAAAAATGCAATTCGTCTTCATTATACAGAATAGGACAAGAAAAAGAAACACAGACAGCAGAAAGAAAGCCCTCACCTGAAGGGTCTGCAAGTTTAAAAATGAAACATATTCATGCAATTAGTAGGAGGTTGATGTACATACTTTCCCTTAATAATATCCTTCCGGTATCTGTAGACTGTCCTGGCTGCCTGCTACTTAGTTCGACCGAGATCTCTGCAGGTATTTCCTCCAGGTCCCCCCCTGGGCTTTTAAAAGGAAACCCACGGAACAATCTTTAGCTCTGACCCCTTGATGTGCTGCTTCTGATGTCTCTGCACAGAAGAGAGTTGTATAAATCATCAGTAGTCCCTCAGTGCTGCTGCAGTTAATCAGGATTCTTCTTTGTGCTCCTGTAGAAACTAATTTGCACCGTTTCCTCCAACATGTTTAGTGTCTGAAGCTCACCTAAGCACAGAAGACATTGTGCGCTTCCTGCTGAGAAGATCTGTTATAGCTACGATTCTACACTGATTGTAGCACTGGAAGCATTATGTTGAAGTGATTTATGTTGAATCTTTGTGCAAAGTGCTGTACATGACGTGATGTACTGAATGTAGAAGCATTATAGAATAATGTGTACATTTATTGTCTCTTGAGACTTGTATCAACTTCACAATTTTTCTAACAAGTTCAAGACTTTGAACCAAAAGATCGTTATTTTTTTTATCCAGTCGACGCTCAAACTAGTTGCAATAGTTGCTTTATTCCAGGTCATAATAGGGTTTTATGATCCTCAATTTCTTTCAATTATAAAAACTGCTCAAATATGAAAATGTGCAAAAATGAATATTTATTTTCTGAACATATATCCTACTTTTTCTTTCTAGACACAACATAATCAGCCAAGATGGTGGCAGTCAGGTTACTGCTCAGTGTTCTGATGACCGCAGGTATGTAAAGAAAAAACAGTCATTGTGTCCAGTACTTTTAGAGGAATAAAGACAATTGTGTGTTTTTCCACCAATGTCTGTGGGCAGACTTTTGATAATGCACTGATGGTGCTGCACTGTATTATTTGTTTTACAGTTTTATAGTTTAAGCTCAGTGTAATGGTGCTGACATGTTAATCTGTTTAATGTTCAGTATGTTTTCTACAATATATACTATTCAGCTATATAATAGTATAATAGACAGCAAAAGGACTCAGTTTAAGTACTGAAAAAGAAGTCCAAATCTCATTGATATCACTTTTAATTTTTTAATTTTTGTCTTTAATTACAGCTATCTCTGCATCTGCAAAAGGTAAAACTGTTGTGCACCAGTGCATCATACATAATTCCGACTCATCAGTTATTTACATTTCCTTGCCCTCTAAAGTGTCTGTTTGCTTTATCTGCTGCATAATCCAGCCGAGCCGGTCTCCATCACCTTATTCCACGGTGAGGATTTCCACATTCTGCTGCCCTCGCTCGAGGTGGAGGTCATCTTTCAGAACAGGTCTGCTCCTCGCTCGCCTAATGTGCTCCTGATGAAGGGCGTCTCGATGGTCAGCGGTCGGGCCAAACTCAACCGCTACCTCAGCCACCTGGTCATAGACGCCGTGGGTGAGGGCGATGAGGGCGTGTACTACGTGAAGAACCCAGAGAACTCGACCTTTTTCAAAAACATTTCGCTCATAGTTCGAGGTAAGACACCATGATGCACTGGGACTGGTGATGAAGCACAGACCTCCACTGACATATTTTTTAAAATGCATCTACTGGAAAACTCAAATTCATATTACAACTAGTTCCCTTTGAAAAACAGCATCTGTGATAATAAATGAACATAACACATAACTATTAACTCAGTTGTGTTTTTAACCATTAATGCAACAGTATATTGTACTTTCACTACAATAGAGGCCAGCAAAATATAACTTCAGATTTAAAATAATTTCTTAGCACAGCCTTCTTTGTTATTTATTTATTTATTGGTTTTGTCTGAGTGGTGGATCAGGACCAAAAGGTGTTCAACTTCCTATCATAAAAGACCAGTGAACCAAGTCAATATTTATAAGAAGCAGGAACCTGTGAATTTTCTGCATTCTTGCTTGAAAAATATTTAAATAATTATTTGAGTATCATAATTGTTGTCGACCTGTCCAGGGTGTCCCCTGCCTTCACCTTAAGTCAACTGGGATAGAGTCCAGCCCCCCTGCGACCCTAGTGAGGATAAAGCGGTGTATAGATAATGGATGGATGGATGGATGGATAATTGTTGTTAATGCATTTTTTTTTGATTGACTTATTGAATTATTAACAAATGATTTTAATTCTGGTCTTAACCTCTTTAGACCTGGCGTCCACATGCATGGGCATCACATTTTGGGTTATATTACCACAGTAGCTATTAATTTTTTTTAAATTTAGTATTATTTTATTATTTTTTAAAAGAATTAAAAAAAAATTTTTAATCTATATTTATTTTCTTCATATTTTTTATTAAATAAAAAAATGCATATTAAGCAAGAGCTCGGGTCTGTAAGAGGTTAAATATGTGCTACTATCTGATTTCGGCAATAATTAAACATAGAAAATCTAAAAATAAAACAATCATTTCAATTAAGTTTTGTGTTTTGTGGAAAAACCACATCAGTCGACTCCTACGGTGTAAATACTGCAAGAAGAGACGCCAGAAATCACGATAGCTACGAATCTGGACTGTGGACACACACTGCTGGTGTTTTACAGTCTTTTTCTTTTTTCCACAGCGTTCCTTTGGTACCAGAACACGTAGAGATCACTGTGTTCGTCTCCTCAGTGTGATTAATGATTTTATTAGTGTTATTTTTACATCTCATTTTTANGTCAGTGGTAGAATGTCACCGAGTACATTTACATAAACTCAAGGTGCTTGTGTCATGCTCAAGTATTTCCAGCTATCAGAGTGGCTTATGTCCTGCATTTTACTTTTCATACTTTCAATACTTCTGCACTTATGTTAGAAAATTGATGCTTTCAGCGCTGCATGTATTTCCACATTGTTGTAATGTTATTTAAGTAAAGGTGTGACCACTTCCCCCACCACTGGAGAACATCAGAGCTACAACTACAGGATAAAGATTAAGCCTCTTACAACTGATCTGGAGTGAAAATCACTTTAATCACTCAGACAACAGCTGAAACAGAAACCCCTGACGTTTGCAGACCTGGTTTGTCTCGTGTTTCAAGCTGCAGCGGCGTTGATTCTGTTGCTCCGGCTGCCAATTCAGATGAGATTACGCACACAAATGTGAGAGGAGCAGGGAATGATTCAACACAGCGTGAGCAAAGGTGACGGTAGTGTAGCAGTATGTGGAAGCGGTACCATATGGAGGGAGTAATGTGTTGTGAGGAGATGAAAAGGTGTTTGTGTGTGTTTTTAGAGTGTGAGAACACTCTCGAGCTGCCAGGTAGTAATTATGCAGCCCTTAAACCACTAACCCACTTCTCTCTCCTTCCCTCTCTGCTGTTTTCCTATTTTTATCTTGTAATCGCTCTCTTTCTGTTCTATTTGTCTTGTGTTTTTATTCTTCCCTCACTCCTGCACCTCTAACTGTCCTTTTTCCCTCTAAAACTCTGTCCTCTTTCATTTCTTCCTACTATAATGTCAGGCAGTTTCCTCACAACTCTGATTAATGTTGTTGATTCCTCCTGCTTTCATGTTCTAGACTGCTCCAACGAGCTGAACATCAAATATGGAGACAACTTCCGTATTCCTCTGTCCGGCGTAAATCATCCCATCACTCTCGATTTCAGGTCCAGTGCTGTGGAGGCCAACCAGACAGCTAGGTAGTAAGAAAAATGACACTGATAAATTTAACCCAAGACAATCTGTAATGACATTTTCCAACCTCGATGTACGGAGACAGCATGTCGAAGAAAAGTTCTTCTTCTTTGACTTTCCCTCCTGTAGACCTGCCTTTGTGGTTTTGACTGCTGCCGAGTTGCCCACGGAGCCCTATCAAGGTCGCATAACCGTCAGCGAGCGTAACGTCACCCTCCTTGCTGTTACGGGTGCAGATGAGGGCAGCTACACCGTCATGGACAACAAGGGTGTTATTCAAAGGAAAGTGTGTCTCAATGTCAAAGGTGAGAACCCAGATGATATGTTGTATGTTGTCCTCTCCCATGCTTGGCTGGTTTTAAATGACCAGAACCTTCATTAAGGAGGTTGTTGTTTCCCTTTTAGTTTTTAAGCTCCTCTTGTCTGCCGTAATAGCTTTTTAAAGACTGAAATGTTAATGGGCTTTCGCAGGCTAATGTATTTTAAATGATCCATGGGCCTGCGCAGAGAGCTGTGATGTATTTATCGGATGTCCTCCGTTCTCCTCTGTCTGTTTGTGTCTCAGAGCATCAAAACTTTGTGACCCTGCCATACGGTAAAAGACTGAAGATCAACCTGGTACTCAGCAGTTCACTAGTGCAGCTCTTCTACAGCCCCAACGATGCCCCCGCAGCCCTGCACCTGCTGCTGGACAAGGGGCAATTCACCAGTGTAACTGGACCCTTTTATTTCTTTATAGTCTCCACTGACTGTTTGATTCCTGTATTTTACGACAAACGTGTAAAAAAATTAATATTAATGTGAGAAATAATGGTATCAGTGGGGCTTTAACTTTTAAGTCACCACAGCAACAAAAGCTGGGTGATATGACTGGAGCTTGCATGTCGTTTGTGGCCCTCTTTGCACTGTATGCCCGCCGTTTCTGCTGTTGGTTAGTAAAAACTTCTTATTCTGATGAAGTATACAATTTCAATAATTATATAAAATGCATATTTGAATGCTTTTGTGTGAGAACATGTAATATGAGCAGTCAGCATTAGGATTCCCATTACCACAGAAGCTGCCATTTGCAAAGTATAAAGTATAATATGCTGTAAAATCTGAGCAGATGCTCCTATTAAGCAAAAAACTATGACAAACAATCATGTATCAATCAATTCCACTGATCTGATTCTAGTTTTTTACTCCTTGTTTTGGACATTTGCCTTCATTTGATTCAGCTTTTAAGGCCATTAAGCCAGCATACTTTTGTAAAGTGTGTGTTGTTTGTATTACTTGTAGTCATTATGGATAGTGTCTTTGATCATTTCTTATTTGTCATTGATGTTATTTGTCTTCTGTTCTAACAATGATTTAATTGTTCTTTTTAATTTTTGGCACCAAGGTCTCAAATGTCTGTGTTTTCATCGTAGGCCGCAGCAGAGTTGGGTTTTGAAGACCGTATCTCTTTGGAGGGTTCGTACGTTTATCTGGATCAGGTCAAGGGTGCAGATTCTGGCCAGTTCAAAATTATGGACATACTAGGATTCACGGTTTCCAGCATTTACCTGGATGTAGAACGTAAGCAAAGAATGGGATTGTTGAAATTCAAAGGCTCGAGGGCTGATTGTATTGCTGTAATAGCTACTAGAGTGTAGTATCAAAACATAGTAGAGTAAAAATAAGTAGAGTAGAGAATGATCACTTTCTTTTCACTTTTGTATTTATGCAGTTGAATTTCAACATTTCAATGAAAGGTCAGTTGAATTATTTACCTCCCTACTCCTGTCCTCTCCCCCTACTATGCATACATGTAGCCTACAGGCTGGAGTCGCTGTATGTGGCCATCATTGCTCTGCTGGGCCTGCTGGTTTTCCTTCTGCTGGTTTGCCTGCTGTCCTGCCTGATCAAAGTGAAGAAGAGGGCCAAGAGGGCGGCTGCTCTGGAAAAGATCGCCCAGAACGCTGGCAAAGAGGAAGAGGGAGAAGCCTTTAGGCAGGTCAGAGAACCAAATATACAATATCATTTTCAGTGTGATGATGATGATGATGATGATGATGATGATGTGTATTCTGGTACAATAATGTCTTTTGTTTCGTCTGTCTGTGCACATCTTCATAGGTGGTCAAGAACATCACAAAACTCAGTGAAGAATCCAAGCATTCACAGGCTGACAATACAGAGAAATCTCAGAGCACTGAGGTGGACATTAAGGTAAGGATATGTAATAGTTCTCTTTTAAAACTGAGTCAATGAGGGTTTTATTTAAAATAATGTCTCAATTTTTATGCTGTTTTCTGCGTTCAGACAGCTGCAGCTTATTCAGAACGCTGCTGCTAGAGTCCTCACTAAGATCAAGAAAGTGGATCACATCAGTCCAGGTCTCAGATCCTTGCAGTGGCTTCCTCTGTGACATACAATGGATTTTATAATTTTACTCTTGGTTTATACAGCATTGAATGGTTTTGGGAAAAATATGTATATTTCTGATCTGCTGCTATATTAGGAACTTTCTGATTTCTCGGGTCTTCTGGGACAGGTCTGCGTACTGCCCCCAAAGTACAAACGAAACAATTTTCAGTTTTTATGCTCCATGTACCTAAAACATACTCCCAGAAAACCTGAGGTCTGCCCCAACTCTCTTCTTTTTAATCCAGGCTGAAACCATTTCTGTTCACCACTGCCTTTTATTGAATTTTTGAGTTTAACTGAGTAAAACCTTGCACTGTGCTGTAGCTGTGCTGTGACTTTTATTCTCTCGTTTTATTCAATCTTAGCTTGTTATCTTTCGATTTATATCACTGTTTTAAAATCTGTTTATGTGTTCCTTTTCTATCCCCTTGTATGCTTGTTAGATCTTGTCTTAATGTCACTTTGAATCGCATTGTTGTTGAGGGATACAAGTTCTACAAATACACTTGTCTGACTTTGTTGTCTCTCTGAACTCAGGGACTGGAGGTCTCCTCTAAAGAGGTTGGGATCGGTAACCTAGAGACCAGTGACTCTGGCGTTGGCTTTAACACTGCCCTCCCACTGGACACTGACACCGATGCCCCTGACCAACTCCCTGACTCTGAGGCTGTAAGCATTTCTGTTGCTCCTGAAACCAAATCAAGTCCTTTATCTGCTGCTGAGTCCAAGCCAAGCGCTCCACCAAGTATGGAAATTAAACCCAGTCCAGTTGCTGAACCTAAACTCAGCCCAGTCCCTGAGGCCAAGAAAACCCCTGATCAGCCGGTGGAATCGAAACTGGATGTCCCTAAACCAGCAGATGTTAAACTTAGCCCGGACCCAAGCCCAGAGCCCAAGGCTGGTCTGAGTCCAGCTGATCCAAAGCCTGCACCCAGCCCAAGCCCAGAGCCGAAGCCAAGTGTTCCCAAAGTCATCACGCCAACGCCTGAGAGTACGAGCGCCCTCACTCCCACACCTGAGCCCCCCAAGACAACCACGCCAGAACCTATTACCAATGGTACATCAGAGCCAGAACCAGATTCCAAACCGAGCCCGGATCATGCTGATATTATTGGAGGCTCAGCTCCAAAAGCAGTCCCTCCTAAAACCCCTGAAGTGGAGATGAAACCTAGCGGTGCCGTACTAGAGGTCAGCAAAGACGGCACTGTGGCTGAGGATTCAACCACCAACACCTGAGAGCTGCCCCTGCAAAAACACAAAGGAAGCCCCACAGATCTTGTCCATCTACCACTACTTTAGACAATCAAACACCCCCTACCAAATAATGAGAAAACCACTGCAGCTGATCTGACGTTGACTGAACATGCCTGAACACAGTATTACCTTGATGATGGCGTCTCACTTGTCGGTAACTAACACTAAAACCTTTGAGACTTTTTGATTTAGAAACTCTTTGCATGACAAACATGGCTTTTGTTAAACATTTTAGTTGTATGCACCTTGCAGCCTTGGTTTTTGGTAATTTCATAGTAAAACTGCCAGACTGCAAATGAAATCCTTTGCAGAGTTTACAACTAAAATGTTCACTCCTCATAAGGTCTTTTCTTAAATATCCAAAAAGGTTTACGACATTTCATGAGAGTAACATACTAGATTTGCTTATTTGTCCTTAACTAACCATCATTTCCCATTTAGATGTTTGTTCCTCCATCAGCACGTGGGTGGAGTTTTCACTAGTATCATCTTAAACCAGCTAAAGCATGTGATGGCACTGACATCATCAGAACAGAAATGAAAACCCTTCTGATCACACTTGACTGTGTGAGATTAAGAGTCATACTCCCAGTGGATATCTCCAGTGATTAAAATGTGTTTTGTAGATTGATCCCTGAAGTCCAGATCAACTAATTCACTGTCTTTGATCTGGATTTCCTGTTGGTTCTATACCAATCCCAATACTCTTACAGTTTAATAAGAGGCTCATGCCAGTAGAAACTTCTGACACTTAAAAAGACCACCAAGTTCCAACTATACGTTGGGCTTTCCAGTGATTAAATACAAAAAAAAATGTGGGATAATTTCAAATTGTTGGAATATGCTTCCTTTGATTGTTTATTTCTTTGTTTTTCCTTCCCCTGCTGTATACTTTTTGTTTGCTCCTCATCCTTCTTTCCTCCCTCTTACTGCTTCAGTTTACTAGACATCACTTTAAACTACTTAAACACATGGCCTTTTGAAAGAAAGTAGAATATTAGTCATTTATTTTTTTACTCGAACTAGATGCTTCCTCTGTATTAGGTTTTGTTAACAGTGACAAAGTCTTGTTCATGTGTCTTTGACCCTAAGAAAATTTGACAAAAGCTTCAAATGCGTAGTTGTCATTGGCTTAAAAATTCTCCAACAGCACGAGGCCTTTATCAGTGCCATGACACTGTTCTAAGTGAGTTTCTAGGTAGTTTCTAGGATGTTCAGTCAACACAATTCAATCTCAGTTGAAACTGTATGTATAATACAGAGGAGGTGTGCAGATACTTTTTCATGTAACAAAATGCGTGTCTCTACCTCGTGTTTTAACTGACTGCTGGCAAACCAGTGACTATCCGTGTCTGATGCACTGAAATAACCCCCCAAAATTAAAAATAAAATAAAAATATATACATTTGAATTTTTGAGAGAAGCACAAAAAGACAGAATGGTCAGAAAAATATAGGAAACTTACAAGCAGACCCATTTACAATCAACTCGGCCGTCTTCATATCTTTCCTGACAAATAGATTTTCTTAGGTGTAAATTAATATGAGATGTTGCATCAGCATCTTAAAAAGCCATAAGACTAGATAGGTTTCGATGTCAGATTTGATACAAAAATTAACACGATATATAAACTGAAGATTTTAAAAAATTGAAACATATAGGTGCCTCGATAGTAGATGGATTACTGTTATCATTCTGATGTATTACACTTGGACAAAGGCATTCTAATGTAAAACTGAGTAAGACATTGTATATGCCTCATTTTCAACCTGAATCTGTGAGGGAACTACAAACTCATTTGGCAATACTGACGACGTTCTTTATACAGACATGCATACATACACACATAGACCACAAACAGGCACTGCAGCCTTGTAAATATTGCATGTGTATGCCAGTTTAACCCCCTTATGGCTGAATGTTTTTAGTGTGTAGGACAGTTGTTGTATTGTACTTAAGAATAGAAGAGAAAACTAATAAAATTTTGCACCGACTTCAAACACGCGCACACACATATATATATATATATATGTATACAAACCCAGATTAGATACACTAATGTCTTGAACTAATTTAACAACCAAATATTGTAAAATTCCATTACGACTCTATTATCTCGTTAAGATCAATTACCTGCTGTTATTGCCAACTTGATGATACTCACATCATACTATATCTGTCACCATATTTACATGTTGTATTGAAATGTTTATCAGTACCACTTACAGCATTAATTGCCGCATGCCCATGACATGTTCCCAGAAGTTGTGTTTGTGTGTGTCACCAAAGAAAGTTTTGATGTTCCCATTATTCTGTGTTTGGAATTTGTGTGTTTACGTCCGTAAGTGTATGAGTGTGGGTGTGTTTGCTAAATGTGCCTGTGCACAGGCAGTTTGTACAGAATGAATTTAGTGTATTTTGTGTGTCCTTCTCCATCCGTAGTAAGGTTTCCATGTGCCTGCTTAAATCGTCTTGCAATGTAAAGAAAAAAAAAGTACCGCGTTTAAGTCATGAGTGTGAATGTGCTTAAAGCCACTAAAAATTCTTCAAGATATGGATATTTGAGTGAATCTTGTCTTCGTTTTAGTGCCTAAAATGTATATTGGATAGTTAGCCTGTAACCCAGGAGGAAGTGGCTCATGATGGATCATCAGCCACTTCCTAATGGCACCTTTTTATTATTAGGTAGCATATTCACAGATGTATGCAGTTTGCACACCTGAAATTATACCACTGACTGGCCTAAGATGTGTTTATGTGAAAGAAAATGGAACGGAATACTGGAAGGGATGGAGAGACTGACTTGGCTTGATTCTAAATGGCATACAGACTGCTGAGTGTGCTTGTGTTTTCACTAACCAAGTCTGTGGCACAGTTTGGAGCATGTGTGTGAATGCATGATAGCAGCAGATGAATGACAAAGCTTTGTGTGCGTAACCCTCTGGGTTATGTTGTTGTAAGCAACCGATGAGAGACAGCTTACGCAGCATATCCCTGCACCACTACTACTGTATATTGTCAGTGATTGTAATACCAAGCCGCTCAGAGTAAGTAGGGGTGTGAGAGACGCAGATAGTGAGTGGTGGGCATGAGGAGCCTTTGTTTACACATTACCACCATCTCAAAGAAGGCTCAGTCCAGTGGGCTCAGAGTTGTTACATCTAACAAGTGCCGGAGGGATTCTAGTTTCATACCCACCTCTGATAGGCCGCTAATAGAAACCACTACTGGTAATACCACTGGTTCTCCTTGCACTACGTGAGTTGTTTCTACCCTCTCTGATTACTGCTGCTGTACTGGCCTGGTCGTGGCGTGATGTCCCACGTGGTCTCTCTGTACACTCTTTTTGCACAACACTTCACACAGATTTTTTGTAAAGACAATTGTTTTCTTTTTCTTTATTTGTCTAAAGGAATACTAAGAATAAACTAAAGGTTATGGCATTTCGCTGTGTTGTCGTCTTTGTTTTCTATCTCTGCGAGCGATAAATTTGCAGAAGGAATGTTTGGACTCGGAGTTGTTCATTCCATCTCAGTCACTTATCGCATTCAATGTCAACCACCACGCTGTGTTCTGAGTATCACGCAACTTCTCTCACCCAGGGTCCCACTAATCCTGTTGCATTGCTTTGAGCTTCCATCACCTGCCAGGACACATCACAACAGGGCAAGCATAACAGGGATACTTGTAAACAGGCCAAAGGTAAAATCATATTGCTGTTTACACCTGCTATGGATCCTGAAGCTCCAGAACCTTCCCCATGCTTTATTATTATCCCAGAATCACCCCAGCTCACATGCATGTGATGATCAATCTCAACAGCATTTAAGTGACATCACAGTAAAATCAGATGCACAACAAGAACAGAAAAAGTTGTGGTTACAGTAACAGCCATGTTTTTTCATTCCAAAAACTGAATGAGGACTTTCCTATTTAGAGCACTCTTTCAGAAAATAGTAACATAATTAGGCTTTCGTTGACAATTCATTTCATTGTTGTTCAATTTGTTAATTATTTTCTTGATAAAAAGATTGTTGTGTCTGTAAAATGCGAACAAAATTGCTTAAAACCCAAGGTGCTGCCTTTTTTGTCTGACCAACAGTTTAAAACCCATTCAGTTTATTTTCACACAAGAAGAAGAGCACTTTAAAGTAAAGATAAAACAGACAGGAGCTGAAACCTCACATTTTTGGCGTTGGTGCTTGAAAAATAAAACAAGCAATTAACCAATAATCAGAATCATTGCACATGATTTCTTCTTTTGACTGATTCATCCATTAATTCACTGAATTGTTTCAGCTTTAAAAACACAAAATTGACTCTTTTTTTGGGGAATCCTTGATCTGTTTAGTATTAGTATTAATGCTGGTGACAACAGCTTCTTATAGTGATGGGTTAAAAACCTTGATTGGCGCTATGTTTTTCCCATCGTCGGTGTCACAGGGGTTAAAGTATGGAAACAGAGGAACCCCAACAGTTTCCATTGAAAAGGTGTAGATTGGCGACATGGTAATGGCATTATAGAAAGTCACCTCTTCCTTTTCACAGTCTAAGAACACGCCAATACGGACGAGGCGGAGAGACACCTTGATCTTGGTGGGCTGTGGGTCAGTGCAGGCTTGGATAGATCCACCCTTCAAGGCCAAGGTCCAGAGACCACTTGAGGTGCCGGTAGCGGCCATCTCCCCTCTTGGAACATCTTCTTGTGCCACACCCAACCTCCACGCTGTCTTGTTGCCGACCTCCACCTCCCAGTAGTGTCGGCCTGATATGAAGGCCTGATGACCAAATATGCAGTAATAGTAGTTGAACCGTCGTGGGTTGGCCTGGCAATCCCCTGTGTCTTTATCGTCATCGAACCAAACTGAATCGCAGGACCGGGACAGGGATAGATTAGGGTGGGCGGTTTCAGGGTCAAAGGTTACTGATGTAATATCTACAGATAGAAACAGGATGAGGACAGTGAGTTTTGCTGTTGCTCTGCATGTGTTGTATTAACCAACATATATGTACATACTTGGGTAGAGGCAGTTTTTCATGTGCTTCCATATCCTGTACTGGATGGGCCCCACGAACTGGCCTGAGCGGACCTCTGTGTCTATCTCCACTGGAAGAACAAAGCTGACATGAGACCTGCTTGGACAGAAAGGGAAGGGGAAAAGACCGAATGATGGATGATAGAATGTCAATCCGCCTTACACGGGATTACGGTGATGGATTGATGTCAAGCATGCGTACACACGAGATTAATGAGTTGGCTATAAAGGTGGAGACAGCAACAAAAATATATTTATTAGTTTGATAAAACCACACTGTGACCTGCCTCTTTATGAGATCTTGAATTTCCTGCAATGAGAGACAAAAAAAGTTATTTGAAAAAAGTTTTAGTAATTTGGTTGTAATTAGTAAAGTGACACAGCACGACAGAGACAGGCGACTATTTGCTGACTAATGAATTGATTGCCTTTTGTCCTGTCACTTTTAAATGAGTAATTGACTTTGACTTGCAAAACCAGGTAACTCAACTGTTTAGTCTTTTAGTGTCATTAACTCATCAAATAAGTGCCAATGATGTGCTGCAAAACAGCCCGAAGTTACAATGAAATTCTGCAGCTAGGTCCCTTTGACGTAAACCTGCAAAGTCACGTTATTGGATTACATCATTTGATCATGACCAAACAGGACATACAGTTGTTTTGACAAGCTGAAAGGAGAGTCTGTCAAATGCCCAGGGCAGAGTGACCCTGAACGTGCCCACATGTTGCTGCTCCTCACTCACAAGTTAGGTCAACTTAAGTCTAAATTTACTTCTTCCCCATTACCACACCACAGTTCTGCATAGATACAATTCATTTAAGGCAATAATAAGCCAAACGTCAGTAACAATCACATGTATGTCTCACTTTGAGCAGCTTAGGACTGTCGTCCTCTGTCAGTTTGCTGTTGAGCACTGCGATTGCGTTCTGAAGGTCTCTCCCTTGCTCTGCTATTTTCTTCTCTCTGTCCTTCAGCTGCTTCAGTTGCTTCTTCTTCTCCCTGCTCAGTCGCTCAAGGTCCCTACACTCCTCTTCATCAAGGAAGCGGTGAAGGTTCTGAAACTCGGCTCTGATTTCCCGTTCCAGATCATCAAACCGATGCTAAGAGATAAATGGAACAATAGTAATTCAGTGTACATCCCACAAAAGGCTTTGTGTGACGTTCATGATCATCCTTGTCAAATCTGGCGAGCATATACTCACTAGTTTGCATTAAACTGATATCATTGTGTAGGAAGAGTGTATTTTTGAAAAAGAAAAGAATGAATAATGCAGCAACATTACCTCTACTTCCACTGATTCTATATACGTCTCTCTCTCTGCATCTTTGCACTCATCTACCTCATGCTTGATTCTTTTAATAGCCTGTATGAGCTTTTCCTGTAACACGCACACACACAGAAAATTGGAGAACAGGGAACAGGAATGTTAGTGGTTTAGTATCCTGCAGATTCGTTTTCCAATGAAATATGAACCGTCAGCTGTTCTAAATACAGAAGCAGGTGAAAACCGTAAAATATGAAGCTTACCTTGTGATCACAGAGACGGCTTTTATTGCAGTTGTTGTTGGTGTCTTTAGTGTGGTTTTGGTACATTCCAGTTTTCTGCATATCGGATGAGACAGAAAGAAAACAAAAATAAAAGTGATGGAATGGAAAGAGAAAGGAGAGACAAGGTGAAGGACATAAAAACACACAAATACGGGGAGGAAGAGAAAGCCAGGGAAAGAAAAACACACGTGTTGGCACGATTAAAAACAACAGACCACATTCGGATTAATAAAACAAAAAGGACGTACATCCAAGCAGGAAAGCGACAAGAGAAATCGTACTGACAGGCACAGATCACAAGCAACAGCCTGACTTGAGAATATATGGATCCATTAAAAGTGGGGGAGGACAAGGAGGGGTGGGAATGAGGCAGATGACTGGAGGTGCCAAGAGGGCTTGCTGGCTGGCTGGATGGTTGGCAGCAGCGATTTATGGCAGCAGACATACAAGAGTCTATTTCTGTCTGCCAGTGTCTTTGGAAACAACGAGAGAGGCAGCCAGTCAGTCAGATATTGTCTTTCATATCTGCAGTTGTTTTGCCTGGAAGGGAGACAATGTGTGTTTATTTTTGCAAGGTAGCTCTCTAATGTCTGGGGGATGGGAGGTGAGAGGATTCAGTGCTGCAACTACACAGTGCTTGCTTTGGAAGTCGCATATAAGGATGCTGTTATGCCTTCATATTGTCTGAGAAGGGGGCCTCTGTCTAAAAGTACAGTCAGCATTTTCCTGCTCCCTTAGGAATAGTATCTGTATCCCACTACCGCCCACCACAAGTCATTTTTAATCTCCCCTGGGTCGGTCCGCTTAGTTGAACTTTTTACATTTCGACCCCACCCCCAGCCCCATCAAGTCCACACACAGGGGGGGTCTGGATATGGGGGCTATGTGCACTGAAGCAGCATCTTCGCAAATGTTCTTCATCTATAATTCATGGTGCTGGGTCCTGGCAAGTAGCTGTGCTGAGCCAGGGTTGAGCTGCAAAGTCAGTGCATTACAGTAAAACGGCCGGTAGAGGGGGCATTGACAAGACGATTAAATGAAACACAAAACCTTATCGTATGAAGCATGCAAAGTGATTGAATCAGAGTAGCTAGAAGCCATTTTCTGCAATCAACTTTAAAATCAGTGAATTGTCTCTTTGTTTTTGTTCAGTTACTTTCCCAGTACTCACCTAATGACTGAAATCGTTTCGCCGAGGTGATAGATTTCTGTCTATTGATACATTTTTGTTGAAAATGTGTTCTATGTAATTGTATAAATAAAAGTATTAATAAACAAGAACAATAAACAGAAAAGACCCCCACAACACGTCGCATGAATATGACGTCACGAAAGTAAGCAATAGCATGTCTCAGAGGCAGACTCAAGCAAGAGGTACCGCTGGTTCTTCGGTGATAAAATTAACTTTTAAATTCACCAAAGTCGCGTTTGAATTTTTAAAATAAGTGTGTAATGTCAGCCTTTATATAGACCCGCAGCTCCGTATCTTTAGCAAGCTAGCTATGTGAGCTCTCCGTGTCAGCTAGCATAGCAACCAGCCTACTGTAGCCTGATAACAAACACTGGGGCATTTATCGCGTTTCACAGACACGAAAGTACATTTAATAGAAGTATATATCTGCAACTTTTAGCAAACGGTAGATATCATGGTTTCATGATTTGTTTTTCAGAGATGAACGGTCAAGCCGACGCCGAAGTTGACTACAAACGGAAATACAAAAACCTCAAACGAAAGTTGAAGTTTCTCGTTTATGTGAGTGTTTTTTTTTCATTTTGAGCATTAATGTTTCAGTACTTTCTGATTACACGCCTCGTCACGCTGATTTTGTGCTTTTAACAGGAGCAGGAATGCTTTCAAGAGGAGCTGAGACGAGCACAGAGGAAACTTCTCAAGGTTTCCAGAGATAAAAGGTGAGATTGTGTTTTCATGAATGTGTGTAGATGTTAGTGTTAGTGCGGTAAATAATGCACTTCACTTGTCTTCTAGCTTTCTTTTGGACAGATTGCTGCAATATGAGAGAGTAGATGAAGACTCTTCAGGTAATTATGGAACACCATGGAATTGTGAATGAAAGGTTGTTGTTGTTGTTGTATTATTGTTGTTATCATGTAGGAGTAAGTGTGGCTGATCAGCGCTTTCTGTCTTCTGCTCCAGATTCAGATGCGACGGTTTCTTCAGAAAACAGTGAAGGGGAAGCACCCAGGGAGAGGGAACGGGAACGAGATGGAGCAAAGAAGTTAGTTGGGTATTGAAATGAATACATTACTAGAGCAGCTGGCATTGATCAACACCCTTATTGAGTAATCATTAACTTTTTTGAGTAAATCAACAGTTAACCTGTGAATAAACTCGCTGGTTTAACTTTCATGGACTGCTTGTACTATCAAAGTTGCCTGTATTGGCACAGATATTAAAGTCTTGGTAGATCAGACTTCTCTTTTCGCTCAACGTGCTCAATTTAGAAAAAGAAGACTCTGTAATAAAAATAATCCTGGTTCACTGAATGGAATTTAAGAATATGATTTGAATATGATGGGCTGCAAGGTGGCCTGTCCAGGGTGTCCCCTGCCGTCACCCTAAGTCAGCTGGGATAGACTCCAGCCCCCCTGTGACCTTAGAGAGGATTACACGGTGTACAGATAATGGATGGATGATTCCAAGCATTCAAAAGTCGTCTCTTCTGCAGCTCAGTGTTGGGTCATCTAAAACAATATAGTGTGCAATGAAGGCCAAAATTAGAAAAAGTTAGATTTTAAAAGCTAATGTAGATTTAGATTTAGATTTAGGAGCTATTTAGGACACTGAAGGGTAAAATAATTTGTGCTTTCTTGTTGCTACACTCAACACACTCGATTTCTCTTAATTTGTCATGAACAGGCGAAAGAACAGTCCTGGAGCATTCCTTCATTCATCTCCCCATCTCTCCCTGCTGTCCCGTCCTCTGCAGTCAACCGGCTCTGGACCCTACCTCAACACCGTGAGTTCCTACCTCCTTTATTTCTACCATACTGTGACCAGCAACAATAACTTTGCTGCTATTGTCATCCTCTCATCAGCAAACATAATCCCTGTTTTAATTTGGCAATGTTAGATTTTTTTTTAATCATTTTTTTTCACAAGTCTGTTTTATCTCTTCCTTTGTTTTACGTTTGAGATTTATAATGGCTTCACTGTCTTTGTATTGTTCATTCTTCTGTGTATGTTTTTTTTTTTGTGTTTTTGTGTGTGTCTGTCTTTTAAACTGCCTATGGCTGTGTGCATGCGTGTTTGTGTGGTCACTTGGCAATTTGGGGCCTGCGTCTGTGTTGGGCAGATGCCCTTCCCGCCAGAATATTTGGCTCCCCCAGCTGAACGAATGAAGAAAGACAGAAAAACAAAGACGCCTAAAAACAAGAAAGAGACTACGGGGAAGGTGAGAGAGGGATAATAAGATGTTCAGAGATAACAAATCAAATATGCTGCTTAGCTCTCAGAACCTGAATATGAATGCGCCATTTATGATTGATGGCAATGCAGGCCATTTACAGTTTTTTGTCCCAGCGTATGTGGATAAATAAAAGACGGTAAAAAGTGTCTGCTTCTGTGTGAAAATAGTCTGAAAACTCTATGTTGGGTAGGTTAACATAGTCTGTTGTAGATTAACATAGTTGTAGATTTAAAAAAAAAAAAACAACAACAAAAAACAGTTGATCTGAGTTTTTTTGATTTTTACTCAGTAATCTTTAATGATGACATTTAAGGATGTTACTGTTGAAAATTCAGTCCCCCAAACCATTTTAAATGTGGCATTATACTGAAGTGACCTTCTGGTCACTATGTCCTTAAGTCCATATACATGCTGCATGCTTTGTTCTGGTTTACTCTTTGCATCTGTGATGTAGCCATCCATCCATACTCATTGTTCTTTCATCATATCTCCACGCTTTGCTGTGTCATTCCAAACATCTTTGCTTCATTTTGATTTTAGGTTGTCCCAATGGCAGCTAATTACCCATCAGCCCCTGCGGCGCCTCCAACAGCCAGCGGCCACTTCAGTTGGGTTCCCAGACAGATGCTTAGTGGAGATGCAGCTGAGGAGGAGGGTGACAGTGATGGAGACAGCGACAGAGGAGATGAAGACAGGGGGGAGGGGGATGAGGCTGAGCTTGTCATTGATATCCCAAATGAGTGAGCCTGAGTGTGTGTTTAGATGTATTTAGGAAAGTGTACATATGCATATAGGGTGAAAGACAGAATGTGACTGAATGTATTTCTATATTGAGCAGGCAAAGCTCCCCCATGTGGACTTAAGCTTAACTGCAGTATCATTGTACAAACAACCTCATGAGAGGTGTGTTGTTCAAATATTATGATAAATTAATCTGTGACAGAGGCACAAGTGCTGATTATATTTGTCTGTACAGTTTCAAACAACAAAGTGTGAGTACAACTAGGTATGTGATTCCTTGAGCGATTATGTGGTTTTATAATGTTTAACTGCTCTCTCAGACTTGGTGTTGTAGAATCGCTATAGTACAATAAAATTGTTTAACTGTGATACAGATGTTTGGAATTTTCAAATGTTAAGTGTTGCATACTTGTTACAGACAGTTTTGTCACAGGGTTTTCTTGGCTCAGCGTGGGCCTTTGGGGAGTTAGTTTGCACAACAGTAAGAATGATTGGTAGAGTGAAGGCAACAGGTCTGTGTTACATTACTCTGGGGCTGATGTATGTCGTCATAAGTTTTTTTCACCTATCAAAGTGTGCCGTATTAAAATATTATAATTTAAGCCCATTATTGGTTTTTATTCAGGTCAAATTGTGTGTTTCATTCACAGATGCCACGGAGACAATTTTACTTAAAAAGCTGGTCCTGGTTGTGTGTTTGGCTAGAAATATTTCTCATTCCAACATAGTTTACCAAACTGTGAATGTGTTCAACACATCTTGCCTTTATGCTGCACCTTGATTGTCACACCCTAAAACTCTCATTCCACAGCTACACGCAGTCACTGAAGTATGTTACAGTTCATGAATACATTTTATTGTATCGCATTTTGCCTTGTTAATGTTCAGCACACTGCAAGTATGATTTTGAAAAATAACTTTTGTAAGCTTCATGCACATGTTGGTTGCAGTGTATGGTTTTCTTCTCTTGCTTGACCTTTTTGCAAAGGAAACCTCTTGACAGAAGCCCAGGGGTATATTTGGTTCATGTTTGCTGTAACTCTTAAGCAACACTGAAGGCAGCCTGGCAGGATTCCACCTCTTCTTGATGTCAAAAAGAGTGCTAGATATTTTCCTGTTCACTCTTACACATGCTCACTATGGGGTTATGAGATTATGCCAACTGCTGCTTTTGCCTCATCATTTTTGTTCAGAACAGTGTGTGCCAACATCATGTCTCAACAGGCATGATTTAAAATGTTAAGGAAGACGAAGTGCAATCTGAAAGCCATGAAAGGAAATGCGTTTTGTCAAGGAAATTAAATTTCAAGAGTCACTGGTTTCTAGGTGAAACAATGCCCTGTGAATCAGGATCAAGCTTTAATAAGGATTTCACAAAGAGAACATTTTAAATTTAGCGTTCTGTTGGTCTCATCTATCTGGACTATCAACTATGAAGTTCTGTTTGATTTGAAAGCACTTCAAAGCAACTGCTTGGCTTGATACAGAGTCAGCACTTTCGGGAATGTGCTTTACCATTAGCAATAGATGACAAGCGTTTGTCAAATCAAGTAACCTCGTACAAAGACCATTGTTTTGGAATGTGGACTTACAGGTAATTAACAACTTTTAGTGGGTGTGGACCTGCTTTTGTGTACCTAGTAGCAGTGGGAGTTAAAGGTGTAACCATAGAAAGTATAAGAGGGAGGGCTGAAGTGGAGGTAAAGCCAGAGGGAGAGTCAGAAAGGGTGGGACAGAGTGAGGGGGTGAGGCTGTCAGGGAGAGGGAAACGAAGGAGTAAGCAAGATTGTGCCTGCAAACACAGATTCACTCTCTCAGAGTGCGGCTGACACAAGAAGACAGACATGGTTGCAGACTAGCTGGAAGACGAAACAAGGAACGAGTGAGAAAACAAGCCATCAGCAGCCAACCTTGGCCACCTTATCTTTTCCATCTATATACGGAAACCACTGGATAATTTATAAGCCTCTCCCTCTCACTCTGTGTGAGTGTGTGTTAGACAGAGACAGAGAGGGAGGGGGGGGATCGCTGAGCTCACCACCACCATGCTGAGTCCTGCTACTGTCAGTGCAGCTGCTGCAGCTGTCTGGCTGCTAGCAATGCTGGGCCCAGGCCTGTCTCTTCCAGCTGAGGATAACTCAGAGCCAAATTTCACCCTCTGCAGCGACTGCTTCTACAGACAGACGCCTCCTCAGGGAGCCTCTGCGGGGTCGCTGCTGCGCCCAATGTGCCACAGACTGTCTGGGGGACAGGCGTTTGCCACTCTGTCCAGGCCGACCTGTGACATGGCTGTCTACTCTGCCTTCCATCTCAGCCATGGATGGACAGAGTGGGAGGGAGAGGAGGGGGAAGAGCTTGTGGTAAGGACATATCTATCACATTGTTTAAAGTAGAGTTATGGAGTAGAGTACAAAATCTCATATTGATTAGCAGCAAAATGCAAACAGAAAGCCTGTGGTGGAAAGTAACTAAGTACATTTACTGGAGTACAGTTTTGAAGTACTTGTTCTTGAGTGTTTTGATGTTATGGTTCCTGGCTACTGTTCCCTGACATTCCAGAGGGAAAAAATGTGTTTCTTATTCCACTCCATTTGTCCTACAGGGATAGTAACCAGTTTCTTTATAGATTACAGTTTTGCATTAATAACATATATACACACAGGGCCTATTAAAAAATAAATAAAATAACACTCCCTTTGAAAATGTCCCCTATTATTGCTTTTCAACCTTCTCGTCTGGTTGGAGCGTTAGATGACTACGAACTGTAAGCAGTTTTAATGATGAGTCATTACATCTATATACTTTTCCTACAATTAAATAAATGTTCAAAGTCCAAAGAGGTACAACAAAAAACAAACAAACATGACTTTGCACAAATATAAGTTTTAAATGCATTTCTGATTGGTCAACAAATTATTCAAAATATAGATTGTCTTAAAAAAAGTTACTTTTACCTTTTACTTGTAACCTCACATAATTATCAAACGCTATTGGTACACAATGGTAGGAAGCTATGTGTTAAAATGTACTGATGCACTTGTGATAATATAAACTGAATTAATGGTGTATACGTTCATAGAGTTTCATGCATTCATACTTAAACAGTTGGTTTGAATTATTTGTCTGCCAGACAGAGAAAGAAGAAGACTTTATTAAAGTATCAGTGCCAAGTCTTCTCCGAAGAGGCGGGGATCCAAGTCATCCTGTCTCGCCCGCAGACTTCCCTCTTCAACACTGGGACTCAACAGTCACAACACTGGTCCAGTCAAGCATTGCTCCCCAGTGCACCACTTTAGGGGGTCATCTGTTCATCCTGACTGGAGCTGGAGGCTTCAGGGCTGCTGAAGATGGAGACAAGGAGTGTCAGATAAAGCCGCTGTGGTCTGCAGTGTGCTGCGCTGTCCCAGAGGGGAAGGATAACTTTATTGTGGGGTTAATCAGTGAGACAGGGGAGGGGGAGAGGCAAGTGCCAGTGAAGGAACTGGAGGAGATGCTAGGAGTGACGGATCTGTTTTTTGAAGGCTGTGGAGGAGGTAAAGAAGAGGCTGTTGGTATCAGCGTGGGGATTCACAGTGAGGGCCTTCCTGTAAATACAGAAAAAATAGAAACAGACGCTACTGGTGAAGAGGCAGATGATACAAGTCTGGATTCAGGCACTGCTGACCAAGATGCAAGTCCAGACGTTGAGGAACCCAGAGAGGCATCGATAACTCAAGAGCAGGTGGCGGCTGGTGACGATGCCCAGTCAGAGAAAACTGACTGGGCATTGGGGGCTGGTGATGATACCCAGTCAGAGAAAACTGATGATGCTGATGCCACAAGAGAGACTTCAGCAGATGCAATGACTTCTGAGAGCAGCAGTAACAAACAGCAAGATGTGACACATTCAGAAACGGTCAGGTCAGAGTCTCCTGAGTCTTTAGGTAACTATGAATCCGTTGATGAGCAAGAGACGGACACAAATTCCACCAGCACTCTGATGTACATCCTCTCCACCACTTTGTCCATCCTCAAAGCTCCGCTGCACCCTGTGGTCTCTACAGTCACACAGTTACCTGGACAGGTGATGCAACAGAATGAACAATTTAATCCCTGTTTTACTTGATTTAAATGTAAAGCAGTTCACCAGATATTTAGTATTACACTTCCACAGAGGGACAGAGATATATTATGAAAAGTAAATGATAGAAACAAATGCAGCAAACGCTCAGATGTTTTAAATTTTAACCACCAGATATGTGGTATTAACATTTCCCGTTAAACTGAATTTCTTGTTGGATCACTCCTGCCACTCCCTAGTTTGTAACACAGACTTTGTACCTCTAATCCTAACCCTGATTACTTTATTTGGGTTATTTTGTCAAACTTAAATACTCCACATTCCAGAGGTGCACTCAACAGCTGTTTTGACAGACTGACCACTGCTTCTCATAGTTTAATCTTGCTTCCAGTTGGTGGAATGCCCCTTTAATTTGACCTAGCAAGCACTGATAACTGGAAACACAAAAAGCAAATTACGCAATAATTATGAGTAATTACAGTATAAGCAAGAATACCAAAGAAAGAGTTTAGCAAGTTTTCCAAAAGCATAAGAAAACATTACAGAAATGCAAAGACAACATCAGGACTTAGCAAAACATGTTCAGGTTTTGAGTAATATAAGAAATGTTCTTATACTCGGCTGCTGCTCCTACAGACTGGGATAAGGTGTGGCCAGTAGGTGATAGTAACTCTAGACTCATTGCATTGCTTCATATCTTTCTGTCATTTCATTATTTCATTATACTTTCTCGAAGTCCCACTTAAGAACTGATGCTCATTTCTCATCTTGATTCAGGTGACCTACGTTCTAGAGAAAGACCTTGGAGTTCTTTCCGCCCTGCCTGGAGAGACCTTCGCCTTTTTCCACCTCTTGACCTCTGACCTCCTATCATGGATGCGATCGGCATCAGAAATGCTCCTATCTATTGGGGAGACCTGCTTCTTCAGCGTTTACAACTGTGCCTCAGCCATGCTGGAGGCCCTGCTGTGCAGCTGCCACACTGGGGTCACTGGCATGGGTACCCTGGCTGGAGACACAGTAGGGATATTTAGTGATGTGTTTGATAATGCTTGGTGGGTGACCAAGTTCTTTGGGGGGCGACTGTGGGAGCAGAGTGAGGGTTATGTGGGAACAGTGGCATCAGAGATGGGGGGTCAAGTGCAAGCTGTAGGCGGAGGGTTGGGGAGACTGGCATGGAGGAGTGGAAGTGGAGTGGGCAATGTATTCAGGACGGTAGCGGGTGTGATATTAGGAGTGATTAATGTGGTCAATGCCGCAATAGGAGAGGCCTTTGGAATGAATGAAGAGTAAAAAAGACAAGATCACGCCATTAACAAACTTCTTTTCTCCTGTTTTAGCTTGTAAATTTTATCAGAATATGGGAGTGTGAATTTAAAAAAAATGGAGCTGATATAATTTGATGTGCCTTAGTTCTTATAGAAGGACTGCCAGGTCTTGTTAGGTCAAGTGTAACAAATTTTAAATGTTGTACACTGTAGGTCTTGCTCTTCACTGTGGAAAGCTTGCTGCCCAACTAATCTGAGAGCTGAACTAACTGACACACTGTGCTTTTGGATGTAACTGCTCAAGACAACTCATGTGTGATAACTACTGTGTATGTGCATTTGAATTAAAGAGAATGCTGGGTTACTATTGTAACATGTGCCATCTGGTTCAATTGTCTTTTTATTTATATATTTCTTCGTTTCTCTAGTAGATTGTAACTGAGTACATTTACTCAGTTATTGTACACTAGTTTTACTTTACTTCACTGCAAAATAATTCAGAAGGATGTATTTTTCACTCTATTACATTTATTTAATGACCACCGCTATTGTTACTTTGTTGATGCTGGTTTTACACCAGCAGTTTATAGGATTTCATACACTGGTACAGAATAAACGTCCCTATTATGTAGTCAAAATAAATAAATAACTACACTTAAGAGCTACTTAATGCATCAGTAGCAACAGTCCAGGGGTATATTCCAATTTCAGGGCTGATTGTCTCATATACACCTTACTTTTACTGGTTTAAGTACATTTTTCCCATCACACTTAATCACACTTGAACACAGAAGCTGTTTTATTTGATTTTTCGATTTAATTTATTTATTTTTTATTTTTTTTTACATTTTTCATCTGTCTACAACACCTCTTCTGCCACTGGTTGTTGCCGACATTATTTTTGAATTATTAACTATGTAGTTGTTATATGGTTGTTAATAAATAAATACAACGTTTTATTAGAAGTAACTTCCGTTTTGTGGCGGAAGCAGCGGAGGAAACCCGGAACACGTTGCTGTCTCCGTTGCATCAGATTGCGCTAAGGCTGAGAGAGCTCATGTGGCTCTGTGTGTGTGCTAACTAAGCTGACGTCTCTTTCTGTTTCATTCAAAGGTATGTGTAACTTCTTACAGAAATTTAAATGAGCGAGCCCAAGGTTGCTTAAAGACCAACTTTAGTACAAGTTTAAACCAGTGGTAATGTGCATGAAGCCGTTTAATGCTCTCCGTGCATCTACAAAACTCTATTTTTAGTTTGACTGATTAGCTAAAGCTAACTAGCCTGTTGGGTATGACTTCTCATCAGTCTTTGACAGGTGGCAAAGATTCAGTCTACAGAGTGACAAAAAGCAAACCAGCGAGAAAAAATAATTTGAAACGACATTGTTGGTCAGTGTAAACATTTAATTTTCTTTCTTTAGCACGTTTAAACCACAAATGCCACCAAGTTTCTTGTATAACTGCATAACTGCTGTCACAGGTGTTGTGACAAAAAGCGATCCTCTGCCAAAAAATTATTCGCGACTGGTTTCTACACGTCTACAGCTGCTTTCATCTGGATCACACAGTCATTACATGCAAATACACAGAACTTTATGTTCCTGCTCAAAATAAAGGTTAGTCTTTGTCAAACTTGTCTTGTAACTGGATAATTATGACCAAAGAAATGTGCATTTTCCAGCATTATCAGACCTGACATTTAACATTATTCTAGAGCTGCAACAATTAATTGATCAGTAGTCATCTATTAAATGTATTGTCATCTATTTTGATAATTGATTAATTGGTTTGAGTAAAGTTTAGGGGGGGAAAGTTTTCAGACTCCAGCATATTTAATCTAAATATTTTCTGGTTTCTTTACTCCTCTATGACTGTAAACAGAATATCATTGGGCTGTGGACACAACAAGACATTTAAGGACATCATCCTGGGCTTTGAGAAACAGTAATCGCCAATTTGCACCACTTTCCGACATTTTATAAACCACAGAACTAATCTATTAATCCAGAAGATAATCAATCAGCACTGAAAATATTTTTACTTGCAGCCCAAGACGTTAGGTGATATTATATTATTATTTCTGATGTATTAGCTGTATGTGTTTAGTACATCTAATATCTTTATTTAGACTGTAATTAACACAAGTTATGGTTCAGTTTTATATATAAAATAAAGAAACAATCTCTGTTCCAATTATCCTCAGAGTTAAAATCTTAAATCGTCACATTTATGTCTAGAATTGAGTGATGATGATTGATGCATTAATAACATTTTGGTTACAATGGAGAAGCTGCAGCCACTTTTTGGGAAATAAAAATCTGCATTATATGAGTTGAGCTACTCCTTTAGAGCAGTTTTCGCTGGTAAAGGGGACTGGATTGGTTAAAGTACAACATGGAACAAGTGAAATATTGAAGATGGCAGACTGCAATCAGGTTTTGGCAGACGATCACTTTTTGGCACAACGCCAATAAACACACCCACTCCACCAGCCTCATTCAAATACGGAATGTCGTTATTTGTGTGCTTTGTTAAGTGACTCACTGTTCGCAAAAAGTCAATAAAATGTGGATGAGTTTCACTTTGATTCACACCGTACATATTTTATGTCTCCACCAGAGATGGCCACTCTCTACGTCTCCCCTCATCCCGATGACTTTAGGAGTCTATTGGCTCTCATAGCTGCAGAGTTTGGTCTGTCCTCCCGCCCACGGATCATAACAGAGGATCCCCCTGCCTCCCTGAATGCCCGCTCGAGGCCAACCCTGGTGCTGTGTACTGGGGAAGATTGCTCTGTCCTGAGTGGGACCAGTGCTGTGTCTTGGTACTTGGCTTTTCAGGGCAAGAAGACTGGTGTAGATACCAAGCAACAGAGCCAGGTGTGGCAGTGGCTCAGCTTTGCAGACAATGAGCTCACCCCGGTGTCCTGTGCTGTGGTCTTTCCTCTGATGGGATTGCTAGCAGTGGATAAAAAGGTATCCAAATGCGAATTTTGACATCTGAGTAATTCATTTATGTGAGGTCTTACTCTCTGACTTGTGCATTGTCAGGTCCAGCAGAGCTCCCATGCAGAGTTGATGCGTGTACTAAAGGTTCTCGATCAGGCCCTGGAACCAAGAACCTTCTTGGTGGGAGAGAGCATTACCCTGGCTGATATGGCTGTGGCTACAGCTGTTCTTCTACCCTTCAAATATGTACGTCGGCTGTAAGACTTTTTTTGTATATATATATATATATTTGTATTTTATATTTATATTTATGTTTTGGTTTGTTCCTTTGTTTCTCTTTCCTCTTTATTGTTAGGCACTGGAGCCGTCAAACAGGAAGACCTTGACCAATGTTACCAGATGGTTCACAACCTGCATTAATCAGCCACAGTTCGCAAAGGTGCTGGGGCAGATCACTCTTTGTGAGAAGATGGTGCCAGTGACATCAAAGACAAATGCTGCTGAAAATGCCAATCCTGCTGCTGACTCTGCCGACGCCACAGCTAACGGTTAGGAGGTCCCATGTAACAGTTCATAAATATCAGCTAGATGTTACATGTAACATAACGCATATTCTGTTTCTTCTTGCAGGCCCACCAAAGACAGAGGCCCAGCTGAAAAAGGAAGCGAAGAAGAGAGAAAAGCTGGAAAAATTCCAACAGAAGAAAGAAATGGAGGCAAAGAAAAAGGCACAGCCAGTAAAAGAGGTATAGATGCTCAACTTCTGTGAACCAAAATTCTCAGTCTTCTCACATTTGTTCAGTGAATAATACTTTAAACAGATTCATCATAGAATGTAATTTATGTTCTGCTCTGCTTTTACTCCAAGAAAAAAGCCAAACCTGAGAAGAAGGAGCTGGGAGTGGTCACATACACTGTCCCTACACCTGCTGGGGAAAAGAAAGGTGATTATTCACTATGTGGAAACAACTATGGATTGTGTTGTGTGAAAAACTGCTTCTATACAACCTGTGTGATATAAATAGTTTTACGAGATTATCATGTGACCTCATATCTAAATAATAGCACCACATGTGAACAGCGACAGCACACTGGCACAATGTAGATATGGATGTAACATATAGATGTACACACACAGACACACTCTTATGCATGAACATAACACACAAATGACTTCAAGTCTTGCACTGTTGTTAGCAATGTCTTTGCTCATTGTTTATGGCAATTTTAAGCTTTTTTTTTTTTTTAAATGAATGCTTTTTTAAAATCATGTCTTGCTGTTGCACAGCCTTGTGGAACAGTCACATTTTACTGCGAATACTGAAGCATGTGACAAATCATAATCTTGAATGTTCATGTGATGTAGCTTTAGATGCATCAGTCAGCTCTTTCTTTCCCTCCTGTTCTCTTATTCTGTTCTCTTTTTGGTGTCAGATGTGGTTAGTCCTCTTCCTGACTCCTATAGTCCTCAGTATGTTGAAGCTGCCTGGTATCCATGGTGGGAGAAGCAGGGATTCTTTAAGCCTGAGTACGGGGTAAGAAAGTCCTTCCACTAGCATTATGCAAATACAGCAGAAAATGTTTTTATTGATTATTTTAGTCTTCAAATATCTGCCTGTGTTTTTGTAGAGGGCGAGTATTAGTGAGCAGAATCCACGTGGCATCTTCATGATGTGCATTCCTCCACCTAATGTGACTGGATCGCTTCACTTGGGCCATGCCCTCACCAATGCTATTCAGGACAGTCTGACCAGATGGTAACTATAATTGAACTATTCTGCAGCAAATTCAAAGTCACTTTTATAGTGATGCTTCAGTTGCATCATTGGAATTATGTCTGTTCATTTAATCCTCACCTGTGATGTGAAACCCGTGTGTTTGAGCTGATGGAGTTCTTCTCGCATCCTATCTGCGTAGGCACAGGATGCGAGGCGAGACCACGCTGTGGAACCCGGGCTGTGACCACGCTGGCATCGCCACACAGGTGGTGGTGGAAAAAAAACTGATGAGAGAGAGGGGTATGAGTCGCCACGAGCTGGGTAGGGAAAACTTCATTCAGGAAGTCTGGAAGTGGAAGAATGAGTGAGTAAAAGAAGTAGAATATGAAATATTGAAAAGAACTTGCTTAGGAGGAATGCCAGAGTAGTTTTTGACCCTTTGCTTTTGTAGGAAGGGAGACCGTATCTACCACCAGCTGAAGAAACTGGGCTCTTCTCTCGACTGGGACAGAGCCTGCTTCACTATGGACAATGTGAGTTTTGTAAAATTTCTGAACTATCATCTATTTGAATAAAGTCTAAAGTATGTTTCTTAATTCTCATTGTCTGTACAATCTTTTCAGAAACTTTCCTATGCAGTCCAAGAGGCTTTTATCCGCATGCATGATGAGGGAGTGATCTACAGGAGCAAGAGGCTGGTCAACTGGTCCTGCAC